CTAGTCGATGGACGATTCCGGAAAAATAAGAACCATACTCTACCGGCAGGTAAAGCAGTTCCCTTTTTCATCTTTTCTAGCTCAACTGGCGAATTACTGGACAGCTACTGCATAACACTCTAAAGTTGAACTTATTGATTATTACTGTATAGAAGTTCTGTCTGTCCAGTTATTCTCATGGTACTGTCTAGGCGTTCCGTGAAATTATGTTTCAAAGTTTGTCGTGGCGTTAGCGCTACCGTCAGTCCAGCAACTGAACAGTGTTGTGTAGACATTTTCCATAAATACATCAGAGTATACACTGAAAGAAATAATTCGCGGGTGTAACTAGAATTATGTCTATTTTTTCCGTAAGGAATTAGTAATAAATTGTTACTGTCTACTGTCATTAATTATAGACAGTTCTGTTATTCAGATCGGAGAGCTATACATATGTCAACGTCAATTCATCAATGTAAAACATAACCTCACTTTATTGGACCAATTCTAACTTTTTGTATGTAACAGGTTTGTTAAATTAATATTTATACATATAATAAGAGTATATAATCTTGAAAAGAAATTGTCTTCTGAATTTAAAAAATTAGTTATTTTAATTAACTCAATTAATTGAAGCGAATTTTAAAAAAATTTTTTTTTTCTAAAGGAATTTTCATTAAAAATAAATTTTGATTGAAAAGAAATTTTTATTATTAAATCAAAATTTTAATATTAAATAATTTAAAAAATTTGTTATTTAGTTGTCAACAGTAAAATAAAAGAACAAAATTAAAATTATAAAAACTATAAACTGTAAAACCAAAAGATTTATTTTATAGAAAATATTTCGAAAATGTCAATACACAACTGTTTAGTTACTGAAACTGGCGGTAGCGCTAACGCCACGACAAACTTTGGAACATCATTTCTCGGAACGCCTCGACAGTGCCATGAAAATAACTGTACAGGACTTCTATGCAGTAATAATCAAGTTCAACTTTATATTTTCTTTAACAGTGTTATGCAGTAGCTGTCTAGTAATTCGCCAGTTAAGCTAGATTAAACTTCCATGACTAAAACTGTACAGTAACTTGAATAAATCTAGTCATGCCACGACAAATTTCTACTAGGGTATGTGTATCGGCGCCTATGGATTCTTCTGATGGCTGGCGGCCGGCGGGTCGCTTGTTTCACCGAGCTTTCTCCTTTTAAAATAATATAAACCATAAAGGAGAAAATAATTCACTAATAATTTATTAAAAAAAAACAATATGTGTGATTTCTACAAATTCCAAAATTTCAGTAGTACAAGTCAATCGTCGTCAGACCGTTTTTTTAATATTAATAAATACCAATATACTATTAATTATTAATTATAAATAATTAAAATCAATTAGATAATAAACCAAGTTGTACATTTTTATAATTTTAATGTTCCTAACAGAAATAATAATAATTACTAACTCGCAGTGTTAGTATATAAGGACACAGTCATAAGTTAAAAAGGTAAAAGGTTAGCTAATGAAATCAACAAATTGTATTAGGAACGTGAATGAGAGAAAAAGCACAACTCCATACTAATGGAAACGTATATTCCTCTTTAAGATTGCCTGAGGTTGGGGGGAAGAGAGGGGGGGTGCGAGAACAATGGTACTTTTTATGCGTGAAGGAATGTGGTTTGTCGGAGCACGTGTCTCGATTGCCAAAATACTATGCGGTCTTGCTCGTTGAATCCCTTATATACATGACCTGAGAAAAGAATTTTTCAGGATTGCTAACCCAGCAAATCCGTCTTTCCACGCGACTATACCCTTAATATATATAAGAGCATTGAGAAAAGGGACAACGAAAAATCTCTCTTCTTTCTCTCTCCGAATACCATTTTAATAAATCATCTCTGTCTCAATATTCCCAATCCAATTCTCAGGGTGTCTGATAAAAAAGTGAACTTTCGAAAAATGTGATTTCTATTCTTGTTTATTGCCGATTACGTATCATTTTGCGTTCATCATATACAAAAAAAGGTATTGCATTATCCTTATTCTTTATATAAAAAGATAGGATGGGTTTTGAATAAGTGACAGTAAATAAATCTTTTTCTTATTCTTAAATTTCAAAAATAAAGAGAATTTTTTTTTCTATATTTATAAACTATAAATTTGCCTTTGGGGTCATCCCCCCTTCTTTATAGGGGCCCTTACATTACGTAGAAGTTTTGGTCAATTTTAATCTATATTTTAACCTATATTTTTTTAAAGTCAAAAGAAGGCAATATAGGGTTCGAAGACTCGGAGTTATCGAGTTTGAGCCCTGCCCATAGGGTCCGTTAAATTTTTTAAAATTAAGGTAAAATTAAAAAAAATTTTCTTGAATTTAAAAGACAATTTTAAATTTTACCCATAAATTAAAATTAAGGGGGGTTGGTGAGTTTATATTTTAAAAAGTTAGAAGAAAAAAGTAAATTATTATATTTTTTTAAAAAAGAAAATTCAATACACAGTGTTTACTTGGCATCCGATGTAAATGCGATGTAAATCGCAAATCACAGTCTTTGAAGTTTAAATGACGCGCCATTTTGTGTGTTCATCGAGCCAAAGAAGTCATGCACAAATCCCTACAATTTGCCAATCTATATGAATTTACATCGCGTGACTCACACTGCGAGCAATTTAGCCATTTGTCTCTACCCCCTGACGAGAGATCTTACTTTGGATAAAACGCACATTAGCGTCATATATTTTTTTAAACCGCCATAGCAGGATGATTTTCTTGAAATATCGCTAAACACCATATTTTTTAACAAAATCTAGATCTCCATATTCGTTACAATACGTTTTATGTATATAATTCTAGCGTCAATTGGAGACTAATCACAGCAATATTGACGTAGTTTTTAAACCAAAATACAAAATCAAAAAATGTCTTAAAAATTATTTCTAAAAAAAATGTTTTTTTCCTTGTTTAATTCTTTTCCTTTCTTTCACAATCTTGAAATATTTGTAAAAATTGTTTATTTTTAAAAAAGTTCGTTTCTAATAAAAATATTAATATACTAATGAAAAAAAATAAAGTGAAGGGTTTTTGTAATTTTACAGTATAAAATATTTATATGTATGATTTTTTTTCGTAGTACATTTATTCTGTAGGTGAATATATAGCTATTACCACTTGTGGTAGAAGAAAAGGGAAAATGCTGTTCAAGTAGTAACTGCCACTACCGCCAGACAGCGGGATCTTACGGTCGCGTCTGACGAAAACTCAACTTACCTACTGAAGTCTGACCAAATATTATCTTCAACACTTCTACTACTTCTCGTCGCAAACTTTCCTTCCTAAGTAAATGATTCTTGAACTGTGAAATACTTGGCAAATATTGGAGCTAAAATTATGTTATGAAAGATATCGTATTTTCCCATAAATAACTTACCAATATTAATAATAATATGTTAGTATAAAAATAATAATAAAAATTAAATAATAATAATAATAATAATAATAAATTGAATTCCTGCAACGAATTTTATTATTCATCAAAGAATTGAAATATTTTTACAAATAATTTCATTCTTGAGAAGAATTTTATAAAAAAATTTAAGTAATTGATTTCTTTCGTCGAATTTTATGCAAATTCTAATTTAAATAATTGAATTCCTGAGAAATTTTTATTATTCATAAAAAGAATTGAATTCTTACGTAGATTTTTACAAAAAAATTTTTAAATAATTGAATTCTATTTGGAAATGTTATAAAGAATTCAATTAAAATGTTCACAATAATTGAATTCTTACGAACGATTTTATTATAATTTTTTTTAAATAATTGAATTTCCAAGAAGAAATTTATTACTTTTAAAAATAATTGAATTTTTTTGATGAATATTGTTATTTGTGAAAAAAAATTGAATTTTGCAAAGAATTTTATCAAAATGCCTGAAAATAATTTAATTTTTAGAAATAATTTTGTTATTTATCTGCATAATTGAATTTTTTCGAGGAATTATTCATGTAGATAATTGAATTTCTGGAAAGAATTTTATTAAAATCTAAAAAAATAATTGAATTATTTCAAAAAAAATGTAATTAAAATTTTATTTAAAATAATTGATTTCCTTCGAACAATTTTATAAAAACATTTGAAAATAATTGAATTCCTGAGAAATTTTTATTATTCATGAAAAAAATTCAATTCTTCCAAAGAATTTTAAAAAAACCATTTTTTTAAATAATTAATTTTTTCAAGGAATTGAAATCAAATTTTTAAGAATAATTTCATTTTTTTGAGCAATTCCTGTAAAATTGTTTTAAATCTAATTGAAATCTTGTAATGAATTTTATTATTTGTAAAAATAATTGAATAGTTGCGAAGAATTTTATTAAAATTTTCGTAAATAATTGAATTCCTGAGATTTTTATTATTTATGAAAATAATTGAATTATTGCGAAAAATGTTATTAAAATCTTTAAAAAGAATTGAATTTCAATGAAAAATTTTTTTATTTTTAAAAATAATTGAATTTTGTAAACATTGTTTTAAATAATTAATTTTTAAGGAAATAGAATAAAAATTTTATTTTAAATAATTGAATTTTTATGGAAAACTTGATTTGTGAAAATAATTGAATTTTTCGATTAATTAATTGAAAATAGTATTAAAAATAATTGAAATTCTTCGATGAGTTTTATTATTTATGAAAATAATTGAATTTTTGCTTAGAAGTTTATCAAAAATTTTTTTTAAAAATTGAATCTCCATAAAAAATTTTATTTAATGAAAAATTAAAAACTTTTGAAAGGATAGAATTCAAAAATTTATAATTCAAATATGTTTTGTAAAAATAAAATTAAAAACCTTTTCTTCCCTCAGATAAAAAAAAAAATTCTTTATAAATTTTTAACAACGTTTGATTTATTCTTTTTGTTTTTTCGAATTCAATCAAAAAAAATGAAACAATTGTACATAAATTCCTTAAACTCTAAAGTATGAAAAGAAGCATTCGAGAGATGATAATAAAGGAATAGATGTATTGTAATTATTTTGTATTTAATTAAAATTGATATATATGATCGGGACAACTGATGATTAATTTAATACCTATAAAGATTTATTAAATAATAATTTCAGTGAAATACAAAATAATTATGGCGAACATAATTGAAGTGTTTTTTTTGTTTATTGTTCTTCCTCATCGTCTCCAGTTCCTAAGATCATGCCAATGAGACTCTCAGTGTCGATTCTTCCCTTATCGTCTATGTACATCATGTCATAAGCCTCATTCACTTCCTTCTGCGAGAATTTATCTCCAAATGTCATTAATGCTTTTCTGAATCTGAAAAAAAACAATGTTTAATTATTACTTGCGAAAAAAGTAAATTATTTAAAAATTTTATTTTCGAAAACCGAGTTTAAAACTAATAATTAAAATCAAAACGAAATTTCGATTTTAATTATTAGTTTTGAACTCGGTTTTCCAAAATAAAATTAATATGACAAATAAAACTATGGAATTTTAATAATTTTAAACTTTGTATTTCTTTTCCAGAGTTTAGAGTATAAAATGTTTATGCTAGAGAGGAAAAAGATTTTTTACTTGTCTCCGTCGATTTTTCCATTTCCGTTATCAAAGCTTTTGAATGCTTTGAGAACAACGTCGTCGTCGTCGGCACCTGAAGTGAAAGAAAAATAAGTGTTACTTTTTAAATGTTATTCTTTCATGAATATATTTAAAAATTTTCTTTTTAATAGAAAAATAGATTTTTTTTTTTTTTTTTGTTTTTATGAAATATTTTTCTTTCTATATTGACACACATACCTCCGGAACTGGACATCCTGGTTCCAAAGAGATTCAACAACTGGGTGAAGTTTAGTGGGCCGGACGCTTCACTAAGCATCTCATCCAATTCTTTCTCGCTGGAAATTTTTCCAACTTGATCGAAAGTGAAACGTAAATCGCTTTTTCCTATTATTCCATCTTTATCGTGATCCATGAGTGAGAATCCCTGAAAAATTCATAGAAAAATTTTATTTTAGAGTTTTATTATATTAAATATTGTAAAATTTACATAAATGTTATCCTAATAGCATCCGGGTTCAGTCCCCTTTTTTTAATCCTCCCTTTCTTCATTTTTTTCACTTTTTTATTCTTAAATTAATAAAATCTCCTAAAACACCTAAAATCATGAATTTTTACCCCCTTTCTCTTTATTTTTAAGAAAAACTTGTAAAAATTGCCATTTTTTGAAAGATAGACAAAAAAAACAAAATTAATCAAGAAATAACGTATTTGGTGTCAGAATTGCAAAATTCAAAATGGCGGATCCAACATGGCGGCCGAATTTCTAAAAACTCAACCAATTCTCATAAAAATTGTTACTATGGGGTTCTTAGAATTTCTGATTACGAATCCGATATTAGATTTTCAAAATTAAATTAAAATTAATATTGAAAATTGAAAAATAATAATTTTTAAAAATTGTTTAAAAAAATTTTTTTTTTCGTTTCGTTTTTTCTGTGCTGTAAATTATTTTTGAATAATTACCTCCTTGAATTCGGCCACTTGCTTTTGGGTGAACATACTAAAGACATTTGAACCAGATCGTTTGGCTCGTTTACTGCCTCGGCTCGCACGATTTGATTCAGTTGGTGACTTGATTTCTTCTGGTTCCGCATCTTCCTTCTTCTTTGGCTTCTTCTTCTTTTCCTTGTCCGCCTGTTCAATTTTAGAAAAATTTCCGACTTTAGTTATTTTATTTTAAGTACCTTAATTTTGTTATTTCTAATTTTTTTAGTTATTTTTTTTACGTCTAATTTAATATTTTTTATAATTAGTTATTATTTTCCTACTACCAATTTTTTATTCTTTTAGTTTATTATAATTTTATTTTTTCTGAGTTATTATTTTTTATTTAAAAAAGAAAAATTTAAAAACAAATAAAAAAAAAATTTGAAAAAAAATAAAAAAAAATAATTTGGAAAAAACTTGACATTTTTGATTTAATTATTAAAGTATTAATTAATAAAAATCTTTCTTTAATTATTCTTGAAAAATCTTTTTTTAAATTTATTTTCAAAATGAAATAACTAATTTTGTATATAGTATATAAATTCAAAACGAGGATCATTTTTATTAAGTGTCAAATCAATTTAGAGTGAATTAATATTTCTTGTGTTGAATTTCCGCCAGTTTTTCAATTAAGCGTTAAAAAACCACTTAATTATTTATTCGGCGCCGAAAAAATTTGGCTAAATAAAAAATTACATTACCTACTGAACAAGAATTTATTATTTATTGTTCAAACTTCCTTTCCTTATTTATTTTGAACAAAAATCAAGATAAAAATGAATAATAAACTAAATTAAACGCAAATATCTTAATAAATTTTATTTCTAACTAAAAACATCCAATTAATTCTCTTATTTTTCCAACATCAAATTTTTTATTCTTTCTTATTTTATTTTTTATTATTTAAAAAATAAAAAATAAATAATTAAAAATCGTATTAAAACTATTAATACAACATTTTTTTAATAATTTTCATTCATTTTTGTATAATATGTTACATTTCAGTATTCATTTTATAATTATTTAAATTCGAATGAAAAATTATTTTTGGTTTTAATTAAAGTCTTTGGAATTCTAATTCTATTTAATACGGAGGTAATTTTTTATATTATTATTATTAATTTTTATTATTATTAATTTTTATTATTATAAATTTTCAATATTATTAATTTTTATTATTATTAATTTTATTATTATTAATTGTTATTAATATTAACTTTTATTAATTTTCATTAATTATTTTTCAATAATAATTAAATTTATTTACTTTATTAACAGTTATTTTTTATTAATTATTCATTTTTATTAAAGTCGATTCAGAAAAATATTTTTAGTTTCAGTAAAACTCTGGAATTCTATTTTTATTTTATTGGAAATAATTCTAATTATAGAAATCATTTATTATTCTTCTCTCTTCTATTTTTTTTTTTTTTTTTTGTTTTAGAGAGAGAGAACGAAAGAGGAGAAAACGAAAATTAGAAAAGTTGCGGCGCGTCATTCAACGAGAATCAGGGAGGAATATTGATGCGTCAAGAAAAACTATATCGCCGAAGGCATTTCCCGGATCTTGCCAAGACATATATAGACTGGGCGTCCCGACGCTGTTCAACCTCTCGAGTTACCAATATGATGATTACGTAATTGGCTCGCTCCACAAACAAGATATTTCAATAGTTTCATGGAAATATTAATAAATTCCAATTCTTCTATTTATTATTTTCATTTCTTTTTTTTAGTTATTTTTAGTTTACTTTCAACTTTTTAATTCATATTTTTTTCATTTTTATCTGATTAATTAAAAATTAATAATTTTTATGAATCATATATTTTTCAAATTGATGAAGAAAAATTAATATGAAAATAATAATTAATAATTAATAAATAATTAATAATATTAATAATTTTAATTAATAATACTGATATTAATAATTAACAATATTAATTATTATTGAAAAAAATTTTAAATACATTTTTGAAAAGAATTGAATTTTTACGTTTTGGAAACTTTTATTTTAATTTTGATGATTTTTAAAATTTTAGTAATAAATTTAAATTGTTGAAATTTCGAAATACTAATTATAATATAATAAATAAATATTTTCGAGTGCAAAAAAATTTAGTTATTTCGTTTAGATGTCATTTTTTTATAATAAAATTTTAGTATAACAAACTCGAAATATTAATAACAAAAAAAAACTTTTATTTTGGAATATTTTCAAAATATTTTCAAAATTACAAAATAAACTTGTAAAATAAATAAAAAAAGTTTGAAGTGTTAAAAATATTTATCAAACCAAAATTTAATTGTTATTTGAAAATCATCTAATAATAATGATTGAAATAAACAACAAATTTTACTAATTTTTGATTTTCAAACAAATTATTTGATTATTTAATTTTTTTTATTTTCTCTTAATTTTCTTTCTCGTCAAAAAAAAAAAAAAAATTGTAAAAAAAATCATATGGAAGTAATAGAAAATACAAAATATAGAAAAACTGTTTCCCATCGAATTTTGTTTCAAAATTCAGTAAAAAGTTTAACAATATAAATAAAAAATTATTATTCTGATTGCTTTAAAAAATTCACTCTTTCAAACACCAAATTTAATCGTTCGATATTTTTCAATTTTACCAACACGAAGAAATTTAATCACTTAAACTTCACAGTACACAAAAATTATTTAATTTTCTAACGAAACTTTACACAACTTTGATCCTCATTTTAAATTTCTATCACTGTAAACAATTTTTGGGTCAAAAAAAGAAAAAAGAAAAAAATTTCTGATTGCAAAGAATTCTTTTTTTTATAAAACACCGAAAAGTCACAATTTCATTTTTGGATATTTACCATTTTTGTTGTAAGTTAAGTTTTCTAAAAGAATAAGGAGGAGATGGTTACAGCGAACCAACTACTCGAAAATTGAGCATGGACCTGCTTAAATAACTTTGGAGGCACCCCTTCCAACGAATCTTGATAACAACTTGTGAGGGAGTTGAAAATTCCAAAATACCATAGTGTTGCGTTACTTGATATTTCCATCTTTCTCTTTCCTTGTTTCATTTTTGCTTTTAAAAAAAGAAAAAAATTTAACTCCTAATTAAAAAGTAAAAAAAATCTCAAAATTATTCGAAAATCAAAATTTTTACGTTAACTACTTTTGAAAATATGTAAATTTTTAATTGTTTAAATTAAAGTTGTTGAAATTATATTTTTCAAGTTTATACTAAATTTTAAATCAATAAATTATAAACATTTTAGTTAAAAAATTCGAAAATTAATATTCTTCACTTTTTTCTACTCGCTCTAAATTTTAGTTAGTAAAAATATTTACTAATTTAAATTAGAGATTGAATTTTTGCTTTTGAATTAGTAAATTTTACTTCTAAATTAGTTGTTATTGCTATTTATTAGTAAAATTTACTTATTCGAAAGAAAAAGGCCATTCAATTATTAAAAAAGTTACTAGTCCTAATTATTATTGCAGTATTCTTATTGATGTAAATTAATTAGCACAAAATAGAAAAAAAATTAGTAAACAATAGTAAAAATACTAAAAAATAATAAAATTGTTGTAAATTAATTAGTACAAAATAGTAAAAATTGAGTAAAAAATAGTAAAAATAGTAAAAAATATTAAAACTAAAATTTCTGATTGTAAAAAAAGTAAATAATTATTACTTACTATTTTTATTGTTGTAAATTAATTAGAATACAGTAAATAATAGTAAAAATAGTAATAAATAGTAAAAAATAGTGAAGATATTTCAAAATAGTACAAATATCTTCAAACTAAAATTTCTGGTTGTGATTAAGTAAATAATTATTAATTACTATTATTATTGTTGTAATTTAATTAGAATACAGGAAATAATAGTAAAAAGTAGTAAAAATAGTAACAAGAATAGTAAAAATTCTAGAAAGTAGTAATAAATTTTTTTAAAAAAGTAAAGAATGATTAAAATATCTTTAAAATGAAATTTCTGATTGTAATAAAGTAAATAATTATTAATTACTATTGTCATTGAGGAAATTAATTAAGATATGGTAAATAATAGTAAAAATGGTAATAAATGGTAAAAAATAGTAAAAATTAGTAAAAAATGTTAAAAACTGCTTTACAATGAAATTTCTAATTGTAATAAAGTAAATAATAAAATTTTTAATTTAGTATTGTTATTGTTGCAAATTTATTTGTATTTAGTAAAAAACAGTAAAAAAAATAGTGAAAAGTAGTAAAAAATAGTGAAAAATAATTCAAAGTTGTAAAAAATTGTAAAACAAGTAAAAAGAAGTCAAAAATAGTGAAAATAATAGAAAATAGTAACAAAATAAAAAAAATTGTTAAAAGTAGTAAAAAATAGTGAAAAATAATTGAAAGTTGTAAAAAATCATAAAACTAGTAAAAAGTAGTAAAAAAAATAGTGAAAAATAATTGAAAATAGTACAAAATAAGAATAATTGTTAAAAATAGTAACAAATAGTAAAAAATGTTTAAAATATCTTAAAAATTGAAATTTCCAATTGTAATAATTCAATGACAGAGGGAGAAAAAAAAATTTTTTTTTGAATAAGGGGAAAAATATGAAATAACGAGAATTGAGTCAGCCAAAACCTATATAACCATGTATAGTTGTGAGCTGCCTAAAAATAGCCCCCCTCCATATGTTTTCTGTTGAAACAGATTTCCTCAATCCCACTGGACCACTAGTGTTATAACGTTTACACTCCAGGTCGAAAATAGAACTGCAGCAAGCTCAATGGGATTTTTTAAAAACAATCTATCATATTGTTGGAAGTACAAATATTTCCATCACTCGCAACATTTAAATTAATAAATTTCTTTTGTAAAAAAAAATTAATTTCCAAAATTATAAACTGTAATTAAAATTTATTTCGTTCAAATAAAATGATTATTGGTTGTTAGCAAATGAATTTTGCTAATTATTTGAAGCAAATAATTTTCATTTTAATCAAATATTAATTATATTTGACCCAATAACTTTTATTTCTTTAATTAAAAAATGGACTTCAGCATAATAATTTCAATATTTGAACCAATAATTTTAGTATTTGAAACAAATTTAATACTGCATTGTAAATAAAAATTATTTGATACAAATGAATATATATTTTGATAAGAATAAATGAATAATGTACATAAACGGTTAATTAAATCAAAAAATTTTTCCAGTGAACGCTTTTTTTAACTTTATTTCTTATTTTTTTTATTTTTGTTCAATAAACGATTTTATAAAATTTTATCCCTTATAATTTAAAAAAAGAAAAAAAGAGGAAAAAATTTTAATACTAATAACATTAAAGATTTGTAAATAAAAATTGTTAAATTGGAAATTTCGTTTGTGTATTTTATTTATTTTATCAGTTATACCAAATTTTAAATTTAATTTATTTTAATTTAATATAATTATTAATAACTATTATTAAGAACTTTATACAATTTTAGTAAAGAATTAAAAAAAAATTATTTTAAAAGATGATTAAGGAATTCTATTATGGTTATTGTTAGAAAAGCGTTTATTTCAGAACCAGTGGTAAGAAGAGAGTGAGTAGAAAAATTTAAAATAAGACAGAAATTCGGTCTCGCTACTCTAGCAAATATAAACTATTTCCGTGTTGTCTTTTAACTACGTGGATAATATTGTAGTCTTAATATTGACTTCCTACGTCCTCCGTATTATAAATATACAAAAATTTTTTTTTTAAATTACAAAAACTTTTTAACTTAAAAAATAAAAACTATTTTTATATTTTATTTTAAAAAATTTTAAACTCTTCTATGAACTTTTATTATTTATATATTATAATATTATTTTATTTATTGGTAACTTTTTAAATTTTGTTCAATTTAAATTTTTAGTTTTCAATTTTAATTTCATTTCTCAAAATTTCAATTTTATTTTCTCAATTTTAATTTCATTTTTTAAAATTTCAATTTTATTTTCTTAATTTATTTTTAATTTTGAATAAAATTTTCAATCTAATTATGTTCACTTTTATGACAATTATATTATAAAATATAATAATAATAAAATATATAATAATTATAAAGAACTAATTTCGTATTATTAATTAATTTTATTTTCGAACTAATTTGTAAATATTATTAATCTAACGAATAACTTCTTTCAAAAAAAATCTATGTACAGAAAACGATAATTGGAGTAAAAAAAGGTAAATTTATTTTCGCGATCTCTTTCTTCGATATGCCATCACTTTTCTTCACTGGAAAGAACCTCTATTGATGAATGCAAACCTATTAAGTTGACTCTATAAATCTTTCGTTTAAAGATTTTCGCTATTCGATTAAACTTCGACATTTCTCGATTATAAAAGAGGAAGAGAGAAAAATTTACGGTTAAATCGAAATCGAAGTGAGAAAATTACAATTTTAAGTAAAAAGAAGACTATTATTTATATTTTTACTTTCTGTCGCGTAGAAAAAAAAAGTTATTGTAGAAAGCCCTAGAATATGAGACGTGATATTTGGGGCATCCCCCTATTACCTTTAAGAGAAATTCTGAAATGTATAATTTTTAGGACCAACGCAAAGTCACACGCATCACAAGGATATTTTTATTTTTAAGAAAAAGAACAGATTTATCCAAACTAGTGTTGAATGCTCACGATTTTTCAATCGTGAGTCCTATTTTTAATTTGTCAAGTATAAAAATAAAAAATAATGGTTTTTTTACGCGCCAAACCAAAAACACTTTATTTTTGAGGTTAAGTTGACATTTCTGTTTTTACTTTCTCAATGGAAGTGGGAAAATAAATAATTAATTCCTTTTCTACTTTAAAAAAAAAGTGTGCAAAATTAATTCCCTTTCTGCACCTTAAAAAAAAGTGGAAATTAATTAAAGTGAAATCAAAAATGTAAGCGAAAGTATATAAACATGAAAATGGAAACTAATAAAAAGACCTGCAAAAAATATGAAAAAGTAAACATTTAGAAAATTAAAAAAATTGTTACATTTTTCTCTCTATACACAACGTTAGGAATTTTAATTTTAAAAATTTCCCTTTTCTCTAAAAAAAAAGAGAAACACATTCCTGAACTCTATGCACACAATAAATAACGCAATAAAAAAGCAAAATGTTAGGCTTTGTAAATTTCTTTTTAAATAGTTTTTATTAACGTCACCAAGAATGTAAAATTGGAAGAGAGTTGAGAAGAGATTCCGAAAGTTCAAAGAGAGGGGAATTTATAAAGTTCAATGAGTAGAATGAGTAAAAGGGGGGGGGGGAAGGGTGAACATTTATTTTCTGAAAACTTGTTGTCCAAGTTGAGAACGATGTGCTGAAGTGGGTTGAGCTCTCTCTCTCTCTGAGAGTGCTCTCCTCGAATAAGGAACTTGCCAATTTCGAGAAACGCTTGAATCGAAAATGAAATTAATTAACTCCCGCAAGGTTAAGTTTTGATGAAGTGAAAGCAATTTCAGATGCAAATGCCGTATACGCGGTTTTTTGCCCAAATACTTTATTAGTCGCGAAGGAAAAGTTTATAATATTCGAAATCTCTTACTGCGACTCCATTCCACTCATAAAATTCAATTATACAGAAGAATGCAATTTTCCTAAACGGAAATAAAAAAAAAATTGATTGACAATAATAATAATAAACAGAATTTCATACGCGCGCATTATTTTTATGAAAATTCGATCACCCTGAGGATGTGTAACTTCAAACTTTGTTTATCACTGTTCTCATATTGAAATGTTTTCAATTTCTCATTATTTCCTTGTATTTGCCAAAAAAGAGGCGTTTCTTTGAAAAAAATTGGAACAGCGCGAATATTTTCATACGCGTTTAATTGAAGACGCCCTCGACAGTTGGCGCTCTTTTTCAATTTTCTCGCACTTGCACCTCTCCTTTGACTATTATTCTCATAATAATAATATTTTTTTTTTCATATCACGTTCAAGATAATTGATTACAAAGACTATACGCATTTCGCACAACCGTTTATTTTCCCTTTTTTTATAAAAAAAAAATTATCCGAATAATTTCTCGAAGAAACGGCATTTTTTTCTCTGTATTTTCGTAATTGCCACTTTTCCTCGAACACCACGGTTGTTCGCTTTTTAATTTGTTCGTGTTTCACTCTTTCGCACTTACAATAGAAATATATTAAAATTGCAAAGTCTTAGAATGTCGATCGCCATCATGACCATTTATTTATTTATTTTTTTTTATTTTTATGAACATTAATATTTAATATCGCGACTTTGCTCTCGTTAACATTGAAAGAGACAGCGATTCGATTCGTCAAAAAATTTCGCGACTTTTGGTTATACATTTACATGATGATTGCGTCATATTCACATTTCCAGAATTTAATTTAATTAAACGAATGTTTTTTTTATCACTTATATAAGTGGACATCATTTTTCTTCATACAATTTTATTTTTTTTTTAGAAAACGTACCTTTTTAAAATTTTTCTTCCAGTTGAATATTTGGTAATATTTAATTTTACGTATCGGTAAAAATATTTAGGACTCGACAGAGAGTTGAAATTAGATTTACGATGTCCGAACACAAATATATTAGCACCTATGCGAAAAATATTTAAAAATTAAAGAAAAATTGCGAGTGGCACTTGTAGAATTTTAATAACAGTTTTTTTACTGAGGGAATTCCCCTTTTTTTCGCAAGGGTGCAGTAACTTGATTTTTGATTTTTACAAACAGATCTTTCTTCACCATCATTTTTAAAAAGAAAATGGTTTGATAATTTTTAAAGTAATGTTCTCTTTTTAAAATGATTTTAAATTTCCAGAATTTACTTTTTAAGAAAACTTGGGTTTCGACGACTTTGCAGAATTGACTTTGATATTTATTTCCTTTTTGTTTTAAAATTTTTTTATTTTAAATTTCTATTTTTCTTCCACTTTTAAAGAATTGTATTTTTTTACTAACCGAAATTCAATTCGACCCCAGGGCTGGGAATGAATGTAAAATTGTCAAAATATAAGTAACTACACAACCTTACCTAAAAGCTTCCGTCAAATATACATAACCTAAAAATTCGCATATTATGATTAAATGCTAAAATAATGTAAATAAAAATAATCCAGTCAATAAGGAAATGAGTAAAAAAGAATTCTATACAAAAAAAGATTAAATATATTGTGAAGCGGGGAACTTATCTTTATTAAATTTAAAAAAATTCAAAGTCAAATTTACAATGTCGTTAATTTTTTTAATACTTTTTTTGTGTCCTAGCTTCGTAATTATCGCTCACAATTTTTTTTTTTGTTATAGTTATTTCCGCTTTCTCGTGTCTACAAATAGCTTGGATCATCCAAGAAACATTATTCATTATCTTTCTCTCTCTCTCTCATTCTCTCGCACTCTTTCTCTCTCAATTAAGATCGAATTCACTCGCGCCATTTTTCATTCGGCATGAGAAAAGTGTGAAGTTATTTTTTTTATGATTGTACATTGTCTCCTTTGCCTAAACATATAGATAACAAAATGATTATTTACGCGCGAAACAATATACAATTTTTTTTCCTGTAATTAATCTTTTATACAGTTCACAGAACACATAACCTCAAAAAAATTACGCTAAAAAAATTTCTTGTCAAAATTACGACTCAGTTTGTAACGACCCATCCCTGTATAAGCTAGTCTTGAAAAAATGGTAAAAATGGGGATCCCCTAAAAATTAGTTTTGTTCACTAAAACTAATGTAAAATTGTCATTTTTTATCCAATCGTAGTCTACGAGGACTTAAAATTTTCGTAATAAAATAGGTTATGAATAATTTAATATTTTTTATTACTTGGCTTGGATAAAATTAGCAGAAAACAAAATTTTTTGTTCCCTACAAACTAAGAATATATATTTGATAAAAATGACTCTAAATTTTTTTTAGCGCAATTTCAAGAAAGTTTTACCTTTTTCTTTTTATATTCGAAACACTTGTTATAAAATACAAAATATATATACGTTTAAAAAATGCAAAATGTATGACAAAAAATTTATCATAATTATTATACGCATGGGAAGAACAAATATTCTCGCAGAAGCGAAAAAAGCGAGGTTTTTATAGAGAAAAATTTTTTTCATTTTTATTTTTTTCATTTACTGATTGTCAACAAATTTGACGAACCACCTGGGGTACAAACGATAAAAATCTAAAAGTAGAGCACAGAAACCGTATTGATGAGAGCTTCACATCTATAGGTGACAAGAATTTTTTGAAAAACACAAAAACATTTTGACTTGCCACCAAAAAATTTGTCTCATAACGCGGTTACTTTTTCTTTTTTTGATTTCTAAATTACATATTCGAAATTCGAATTCTGAGCTCAGAGTTTTGGCAGTGTTATCGAACATTCTTGACCCCAATTCAGTTGTCATATTGGAAGACAATTTTTTTTTTTTTTTGTTTTGTTTAAGATTTGGCACAGTGATTTTTTGTCAATGAAAAAGTGGTAAAAAGACGCTTCGATTCGGCGAAAAAGTATACGTATATATGTATGCTAAAGTAGAAAAGGTCCGGTAACGAGATGCTGAAACAGTGTTTTAAGATTCGGTCTCTGGAAAGTTATAATCAAATCCTTGACCGAAAAGTCATTTTCATATTTCACAAAATTCTTTTATCTTTTTCTCTTTAACACTTTCTAGAATTTTTTTTTCGTCTAAACCAATAAGAATTGCTTTTTATAATTTTTTCCCCCCACAAGTCCTGATTGGTCAACAAAATATTACAAGAAACAAATGTTTTTTTTTTTTTGGTTTTTTTGTAAATCGGGAAATTTTTGCCGACCAATCATCAAGCATATCCTATATTAAATTTATAGAATTATACTTGGATGAAATTGACTACCACCGATATTTGGCTAGAGTTCCTACAATAATATACAAACATTTTGCGCGTTATTAATAAACACGAAAATTTTTCTAAATACAAAGTCCCATAAAAAATCTATCGAGTTTTAATACTCTCGCCGCATTGGACCTGCCATTTAAAATTTTGTCATATTATTTCACTTCGAATTCATTTATTTATTTTTTTTTCTCTCTCTTTAATAACAGTTTTAAAACACTCCTGCACGCAGAGTTCCATAAAAATCGCTCAAGTATTTCGATATCTGGATCCAATTACAATATTTTGGATCCGACATTTTAAACTTTCGAACTTTAACGTGTCGTATATAAACAAGCAGAATTCCCAGAACGTGGAATCTTTTCTTTACGCGTAGACTTTTTTCGATTTAAAAAAAAATGTTTACTTTCAATTTCTGGTTTGAATTTTCCCGCCATTTGGCATGGTTTAATTAATTTTTTTAGCTTCTGGGGTGACGATTATTATTTGACTTTTCCATGACAATTTGTTCATTTTTTGAGGTTATGTGAATTTTCTGATTAGTAACCAAATGCAAGTTTAATTGTCATACAGGTAACTGCTTATATGCTGTACACGAATTTAGAAAGCGTAGCCTTTCTATCATGTTATTAGTTCATGGCAAGCTTGGGAATGTCAGCCACGAACTAAAAAGGTGTTAATAGAAATGCTACGGTTTTTAGAAAATTGTGCAAACCGGAATTAAATCAAATGACAATTGACACCCTTGATTTTTTCTTTCATTTTATTTTTAGAAAATAAAATCTGAAGTGAAATGAGATTCTTGTACGACATTTAATGTCGTAACTTTTTTGGAAAGTCTCTTCCATAAACATTTGGCATCGCGTTTTGGAACTAGGCCACGAGTGCGGAATACAGGTAACTGCATATATGCTGTCCTTACGGTTTGCCCATCTTTATGTCAACCACGTCAATTCTATCACAATTTTTTAGTCCGTGACTAAAATTGTAAATAAGTTTGCGACGAACTAATAACTTAATGATAGAAATTCCACGGTTTGTCAATATTTTCGAAAACCGCGTCATTTCTATCACAATTTTTTAGTTCGTGTCTAAAATGGTAAATAAGTTTGCCACGAACTAATATGATAGAAATTCCACGGTCTTCAAAAATCGAATGCCAACCAAAAGGATGGCATATATGCAGTTACCTGTATGTAACTTTGAGACCTAGTTCGAAAATACGACACCAAGTTCCGGCACTGCAATCTGGTACAACACCTTGGTACTTTGTATCTTTAACAGAATTATCTCTACTTATAAAATCCCTGTAGCATAAAGATTTGAAAACAAATAATTACTCTTTTTTTATAGAAAAAAAACCAGCGAGGAAACTAAATCTGAAATCTCGTCAAAATAACCCAATTGTTATGACGCCATCACCAGATGGCGTATCGCTTCCCTTGAATCGAACTAAAACAGATTCCGCATTCTGAAATTTCTGAAAAAACAATAACTGCATAAAAATCGTGCCATACAATTGCGGAATACATCCCATCATATTTAACTCTCGGAGTAGTCCATTATTATAAGAACTCTAGATTTTTGACACGATATATTTGCTCTTGCTCGCTAGTAGCACCAGGGAAAGGGAGTGTTAGCCGTGAAAAATGAAAAGTCATGAACACACTTTGCCGATACAACACTTGTAAAGTACTTTGACCCCCTCGCGATGGTGTCGACTTCCAAGGGCATCATTTGTGTCTTACTTTAATTACTAATTATCGTCCATTGATTTCGATTTAAGTTTTTTTTTGGGTAAACGTCTCCTCGCGTTTTCACCGTTTCACTAAACACCACTCACTATCGAATATAAAGATGAACGATAAACCCAAAAAGAAAAGATGCGTCGAAATGCGTCTTTTGATAGGGGCAGTGTTGTGGACGGTTTACGGATGTCCGTATCCCAAATGTTTCCTACAAGTATATTTTTATATATACTATTCAATAATAAGTACATTTCAACAACCGTCTTTATAGAACTAGGTTTATAGATATTATGATGTTTATTATGAAAACATTTTTTTTTTAAAAAGTCATTTCTCTCTCGATCGTTCCGTTAATCCTTTTAATTATCAGCCTCCCTCGGTACGTACTATGTTAATAATAACCATTAATAGGTGTATAATCTATCTATCTAATAAACAGCATTATTAAAGTCTGTCCTCCTCCTCCTCCTCGTTATCTTCGTTATTCTCCTCTGATTCTTCTTTGTATCCGGGATGCTCCGAAATTGCGTAGTAATTCCCGTTGTAGATGACTCCGAGTTCGCGGAGGACATCGCCTCGGATGATGGCCTTGATGGTCCAGTTGTAGCATTCCTCGCTTTCGCTCTCACGATCTAAGCGCTCGACGTCGAGGATCTTTGAACTGAGTCTCTCGAGAATGATTCCTATGTCCTTGATGCTGAGGTGATGTTTCTGGTCCACGGTGAGCTGATCGATTAGAAGGAGGAACTTTTCAGAGGTGACGATCTCGTCCTCCATGATTGTGTTCTCGGTTTCGGATTCCGAACTCTCGTGAGCCTCTTGATGGTGGTTTCGATGGTGGTGAATGTGGAAGGATCCGGAGGGTCCGTGACGTCCACTGTCCTCGTCGGCAGTGTCTCGGAACCGAACATGACCTTTTCCAGTAGCTGGTCGCCTGGTGCCATCGGACAGAGAAGAAGGAGGTTGGGGGGATGGTGTCTGCGTTTGGGTCTGCTGCTGGAGATGATGGTGTTGGTGTTGAGCGTCTTGAATTGGAGAGGTGGCGACTGATTTGTGAACTGCGATTCTCCGCCCTTCCTCGTGGAGGGCGCAGCAGTGGAAGTCGCACTCGATATTCGCACCGCCATCGGCGCCGTTCACGGGACTTCCGTTACGAGTGACGGGCTGGTGGATGTGATTGGAGCACTCGGGTGTGTGGATATGGATGGTGGTACTTTCGAAGGAGTTGGTGCCCTGCTTTACTAGCCGTCCGGGCATGTGTGACGACGATATCGAACTAGAAGCGACGATGGGACCGTAGGAACTATTACTCGGACTAGTGAAACTCTTCTGTACCATATCATCATGATTTATCACAGTGATTTGCGGACTACTGTAGCGAGGGCCAAGCTCCACTTGCTGGCCCGATTTGCCATAGTTGAGCTTATCGAGACTCGTTTGAATCACTAACGAGGGCCGCTGTGATGAGCTCAGGTCCACCTTCTTCGTCGGGGAGTACTTGGAGCTCTGGGCGTCCTGACTTTTCGACTGCTGCACCTGCGACGAACGCTGATCCCAGTGCAACACCACTGTGACTCGTCCCTTATTGTCCATAATCTTCCACGAGGGCGTCTCATCATGCAACTCCAATGCGTGGATCGTCTCGCACACTATTTTCGGTATCGCTGAAATTGCTGCAAACAGAGCATCAAATTAGTTCTCGTCCAGGACCTTCATCTCATGCAGAGTAAAAATAATTCACTGGCAGGGTGTTCCACCATTTGGAACACCCTGCCAGCGAAGGGGTTAATAGTTTACAAAAAGGTTTATCAAACTAATAGGTGTGATTTTAGAAGAAAGGTTTATTGGACAATTCTGGAGGATGTTTAGAAACCTGAATCGAAATTTACCGGCGCGTATGATGTCGACGCCGGTGGGACACCAGCGTTCTCCATGACGCAGCAAAAGCAGAATTGTATTGTTCGCTAGAGTCTTGAAATAATCGCCGTCTTCAACTTGCGTTCCATCCGATTCGAGCACCAACGATACACTCTCGTTCTGAGGAACTCCCAATTTTTCCTTTCCTGATAAACAGAAATTATTAGTTTTCAAATTCTTGGTAGCAATTAATAATCAATTGCAATTCCAAACTGGAATATCATAGGATGGGTAACAGAAATTGGAATCTCCAAGAGATGTAAAGATTAAAGATTCCCTAATTTATCTTATAGGTACAGTAAAGACCTAAAATGACTATAGTAGAATTTAATGAAATAACTTTTATTCTGGGTCCAGAGGAATAATAGTAATTGAAAGCTTACCTCGATGTACCAATTCTTCAAAATTGCTAACAACCAATCCTTTCCTTACGTTACGCCAGCTGTCCCATATCTTGAAAGGTCTCTTGCTTCGTAACTCCTAAAAAAAAGAAAATCTGTTTTAAAAAAACCACTCCATATCAAAGAGAGAGAGAGAGTTATCATTGAAAGCCATCGGCGACCGCAGCAATTCAATTTTCGTCTCTGGCTTCAAATGGTCAACTGTGAATTTGTAACTAAGAATTATACTAATTCCTAGTTTTCAGAGAAAAATTTTTCCACCACAGCCTTTTGATTTTTATTGCATAGAATATTATCTAATAATTTATAGTCTATTACAATAGCATTATTCTTCTTTTACAAGCTTGTATCTAATTTAAGAGCTTGTTATATGCAGGAGAAAAAAAAGCGGAGGTCGAAGAATATGTTATAATCGCCTAGATGCTAAATGAAGTGTCCATATTGGGTCAACGGAAAATTAATTCCTTTCGCTATTTTTCCAAAGCTCAAATGGAAATGAAATATGGAATAAGGATATGACTTTCCCTGCGAGAGATTCTTTGCCCGGGATTTCATTTGCTTTTCACGTTCGCATCTGGAATAACGATTAATTTTCTAATTGCCACGATAACTCAGTTTTTAAAAAAACTGAAAATCAATTAATGTTGAAATTTTTATGGAAAAAATATTGCCAAAAATCGAAGCAGTTGTTGAAAAATTGGGCACTTACAAATTGAGAGAAAATAGAGAAAAAATAGGATAGAAAAGCGGAAATGAAGAAGGATGTTTAAAAAGCTAGAAAAGGTAAATGAGAAGCTCAATTAAAACTAAATATATTGCAGAGAAGAAATTAAGAAAATATAAATTCAACCGCTTTTCACCAATACATAACCAGTTAGCGCCAGGTGCATTTGTAAATATAAAACAGGTCACAACCACTATCACTCTTTTTTTCTCTCTTTCTACTTGTGGTGTGGCTGCAGATTATTTATTATACTTAGAGGTCAAGGGGCACAGGTAATTGCGAAATTATTTCTAACGAACATGCAAGACTGGAATTTTAATATTCTCCACGCTCCCTTTGACTGATGTACTCCAAACAAAAGGGTCGACGAGAAAACTAGCACTACGATCGCTTTTCGAAAAATCCCTTTCGAAAAATTACTTGTTGGAAAATTAACAAAACCTAATTATTTAACTACAAAATTCTATAAATGTAAAATATTTAATGTTGCATCTTGAATATAAGCAAAATATTTATGAATATTCGAAATTTATTGAAAATTTTAAATTAATAATGAATTAACAAAATAGGAAATTAAAGGATATCGCAAACAGAGATAAGAAAAGTAATTAACAAGTAATGAACAAGGAGCAGTATTCAGAAATTCGTAATTAACACAAGATAAAAAAAGTTCAAATTAAAAAGTAATTTCGTTAAAACCTTTTTGCCTTCACTCTTTATACGAACATTTTGTGGTTTAAAAAATTCCTTTAAATGTTAATCATAATTAAAAATACTCATTTCAAACTGCAATTATTTGAAACACCTTTCTTTCTTTATCGAAAAAAATTTACATTTAATACTTTTCATTCGTATTTGTGATCTAAATAACTAAAATTATTTTAATGGTAATAGAAATCTTTAATTTTTCGCCTTTGGCTTAAACGAAAATTATACCAATAGACAACTCAGGGTTTTTTGGACGAAAAATACCCATTTTACCCCTAACTACAGGGTAAAAAGTGCATAATGTAAAAAATGGTAAAAATCTGCCAAATCCGCTAAAAATCTTGGCGTAAGTACATCCGGATAATGAAGGACGTAAATTATTCTGAAGCACTGAGTAAAAAAAAACCTGGGCTTAAAAACTACTTACCCAAAAGAAAAGTCTTCATAAATTGTAAGAAATAGTCTGAAAGAAAAGAACCAAAATTTTCAAAAATCTTCAAAAAAAAAATCTTAAAGACATTAACGAATAGTTACAGATACAAAATTGACAAAGAATCTTTAAAATTCACGCCCTTGTGGAATTTCATCCCTCGTGAAACTTGGCAGGAGGCAAAAGGTCCATAAGAACCAAAAAATCGAGAATTCATGGGAGAGAGATTTGATACCCCCCAAACGTTGAGCAAGACAGAGAATTAGTAGAGTGCAAAAAGCGAGATTTATTCATTCAATGTGAATGTGCATTTATGTGTCAGTAGTGTGTGGTATGAAACAGTGAGAGACAGAACGAGAGTTTAAAAAAACACAAATAAATGAATTCATTCCAAAATAAAAGTATTCGCAAGCATACAGCTTGCATTTCCTTTTCCATTTAATAAAAGGATCTTTTCCAAACCAAAAAAAAGGGAACATCAACCAGGAAAAAATAAAAAAATACTGACCAGCATGAAAATGAAGCAGCCTCAGAAGGAAAAACGATGTTTGGATCACTCTTCGTTTTCAACAGGGTGGCGCTAAGCACAGTGTGCGCAGTCGCAAGCTCTCAACTTATGGTCGAAAACACTGACCTGATTCAATCATTCTCGAAAAACGAAGGAAAACGATCGAGGTGTGTATATATAAGGAAAAGCCATGCACTGCGTACAAATCGAAAAAGCTAAAAGTCTTTTAAACCCCCTAAAATTGTACGTCAATCATTTGTTTTAGTTGCTGGGTTTCCTTGGATTTTAAAACTGTATCAAACATATATTCGGGGTTTTACACAGACAATTTTATTTTTCGATTTCCGGAGAAGAATTTTTTACTCTTTTCCTGACCCTAAAGAATATTCTGATTCACTCTTAAAAATTATTAGATACTATCTATACTATGATTTTAACTTCCCTACCATCTTAAAGACATAAGATTCCGAACAGTTCTCCAAAAAGAAATCAATTTTCGTAAACATATTCAAGACAAAAAAGTGTAAATACAAAGGACCCGAAGAATATTCCGAAAATATCAACCAGAAATGTTTTGGAAACATTTAGAATCAACGAAAATGCTTTGAAACATTTAAATTTTTTTAGACATTGTTAAATGTTTCAAAGCATTTCTTTAAAAAATTGATTATGAATAGAATGAAAATATCATCATTTTTTAGACAATTCTCTTCAGTTATGTTGAGGATAAGCTCCAGAAATTTAAAAGAATACTCGAGAAACTTGAAAGGAACTATTCTATTAAATTTAGGAACATCCTTAAGGTTCATGTTCATTGAAATCCAGACTCGAAGATTTTGCTTATTCCTAAATTTAGAACCTTCCTAAAGTATTTCAGCAAACACTGGAGTGTTGCAGATGGTTGCCGAACAGAATAATAGAGGATAAATGATAGAACCAAAGTTATAGGTTTAAAATTTAGATGTATGTCGTTAAAACGTTCCAAGAATCCAAGTACCAATCTTCTTTCGAGTGAGAGGTTTTTTGTTAGAGAAGATATTTCGCAAATATCATCTTGGCGAACACTTAAATAACATTAGGCAGAAAATAAAAAATGTGGAGTAAATACTTATCAACATTCTCCATTCTGTTTTGTTTTGAAGAACGTGCAACAGAATCGACTATACAATTGAAAATTATCTTTTTATTGCAATATTAGTAATTTTTGTTAAATTTTTAAAATTACTGGGTTACATTCCCACCATTGATGCAAAAAAAAAATCTAATAATACAAAAGTAATAAATATTGTTGAAAATATATTCAATAGTCGTTCCAGAACCATATGTCTCTTCTTCCTACGCAAATACAATACCATTTATATATATTGGATAATCAATTACTTCGAACGTCTCTCCATCAATTATTGGCTAAAAAGATGCGCAACTTACATATGGCTTCTTCCAAAGGCTTACGAAACACCTTACTGGTAATTAAACCCACTCTAAGCCCATAAAGTCCGTTTTTTTCACTTTTCAAACTCGATTTTCTATCAAAATTTTAATAAATAATCTTCTTAAAAATTATTATTTTAGAAATAAACCCAAAAATTAGAATCTAACTGGAAAATTCTTGTTCAAAACTATTAATAATTTTCCTAATCGCAAATGCTATATACGGAATTTCAAAAATCAATTTTCTGGCATAGAAAATTTATGAAATCAGGACACACGAATTTTCAGGACACGAGTTGGGGGAAAAAAAGAAAAAAATTTTTCACGAAAACTATTGAATTGGAAATAAAATATCGCACACGAATCATGAAATTTAAATCAACCATCAAACTTGAAATTCGTCCAACAATTTTTCTTGCAATCAGATATATCTATATTGGAATGTGAAGAACCATAGAGAAATTGAAATCAAATTTACAATTTGAAAATTGAATATTGAGAATTTCCGGTGTAAATCTGAGGAAAGAGATAAAGAGAATGAAAATCCAAAAATGATAAATTCTCAAGAATTGTAAAAACAGACATTTTTGGGTGACAAATTTTTTGAGAAAATCTACTGTTTTTTACATTAGTAGCTAATTGCGAAATGTTACTGAAATAAGTTTCCGCTTCATAGTAGTTTTCAATAATCAATATTAGTTTCAATTGTCTGTACAATTCTTAATTTTATATGCAACATTTATTAATGTTAAGATAAACTAGAAATTATCTGGTCTTCTGAATCTCGATTTAAAATTCATTCAACTGCTTCGAAAGGGAATGAATAGTTACGCGAATGTTCCTAAAAAAAATTAGGATTTAAAACATTTTGGTTCATGGGACCCCAACTGGCCTTTTAGTTTTCAGCAAGTGGCAGCATTTTTTTTTTATTTACAATAAAGAGATTCCAGTACCAAAAAGAAGCCTTGAATTCATGGACCATATTTACTTTTCGTGTTACAATTCTAACCAAATGTTTACAAATTATAAAAGCTAATTACATAATTCTAAGACCATGAGAACCAAAACTATAAGAAGTAGAAATAATTTAGTAGCAATGGTTAAAAGGTATGCAATACTATCAATGAACTTTCAACAAAAAAATATAGAGAAAAAATAACAAAAGATGATAAAAGCATAGGGTTACCAGTAAGGAATATAAAAAAATCCACTACTGTTTCTTTTAAATAATAATTAAAAAATAATCTCATGAACGATGATTAGGTGCTTTTCTAAAACTGCTCGGCAGTTTGTTCCACAGTCTTGAGCCTCTTACAATAAAAGATCTTTGCATTTAACAAGTACGCTGTGAAGGTGTCTTTAAAATATTTTTCCCCTCTTGGAAGCTAAATTCATTTCCTTGTATGAAAAGAGTAGATATGCAAATTAGGTAAAGGAAGACATTCTTATGGTATTCGATTTAAAAAGAGGAAGAAAATCCAGTAGCAACATTTAACAAAAACCCGCTTTTAATTCTCTATTGAGTAATATCCCCAGACTTCGATATTACCACAGATTCCGCGAAACTAGCATTCGAGAACTAAAAATCCAAGCAAACAAACAACTTCTATTTTTTTGCAAACGAAGGAAAAATTGAAAAAACTCATTACCAACATGAGGAGGAATACGATGAGCAATGGAATCCGTCAGGTCTATCCGGATTGCGGTATATCGATTGGCGGTGGGTAAACAATCGCGTATAGATGACGAGAATGTCGATCCGGAAGTCGGGCAGTATTAAAGGGAAGAAGAGCATTTCCGGCCGAAGACAGTGTGCACTTGAGAAAAGCTCGTCGATCGTTTAAGCAACTCGACACTGACCATGATATCGAACTGACTCAAAAACCACCACCAATCGCTGATACTATACTGTCACTCTTGCCGAGGAAGTCGATTAATTGAGACGCGAGAGTGCAGAGAGTTCGGGAGAGACGGAGAGATGTTGGGTGTCACGAGGTCATGTCGCCGGAAAGTAGGTCAGGCCAGTTATTTGGAACAGGGAAGGGTCCACCGGGGAGGCAGAGAGTGTTCTCGTTTTATTTGGTGAATCGAAGAGCCGGGAGTAGAAGGGAGGAAAAGCGGATCGAGGAAAATGAAAAAAAGGACACCCAAAAGGGTGTCTTATTGTCTTAGACAATCCTATATTTACAAACTCAATTTCTAGCTTGTCTCCATTGCATTAATTTTATTTCCCATGCCATGAAAGCCAAGGATCAATTAGAATTAAAAAATATTGTCTTAAGAGGGATTATCTTGGGCTCGTCTTGAATTCCATTTTGATTTCCCAAATGTTAACGAAAAGAAAAAATAGAAAGAATAGTGCTCTGGGGAAATGGGAAGGAGAGGAAGATGAAGTCAGGTGCGTACCTCTCTTGCCATTACGTCATATCCCTGCAGGTAAGGGATCGTCCCACGAACGCTCATGCGAAAGGGTCCAAGGATTCGTTCATAACGGCGAGGGTCGAACCTGAAGGTTCAGGCATTGTGGCAGTGGCAGCAGCATCCAGAGAAGCTAGTCCAGCAGCAGCAGGGAAGCCGGGGCTTTGCTTTTCACGGTTTTTCTTCTTAACGCGCCGGTATCGCGGCGCAGAGGAACACAACAACGGATACGAGGACGACGTTTAGGGAACGGGATGAGAATCCCATCCTCGCGACCGCGTCCACCAGGTGCGCGAGCGATGGCCCGATCTAAGATTTCGCTAACACATATGGGGGCAGATTGTAACAGTGGCTTCCTCCCGGCGGTTACTGCGGCGACTCCTAGTTTTAGGATCGATTCTCTCTCTCTCTCGGTGTTGGTAGAGAGAGGAGACACCCTTACCCTAGCTAGCGCGCGGCCTCACCCTCACCCTATGACCACCCTGTGACTCTTCTCACCGACGACAGCCGCGCCCCTCCGCTCCAATTCCCTTCCTTCTTCTCTAGAAACAAAAACCCACCATGGCACACCGTTGCCTTTCCCCTCTCTCTCTCTCTCTCTCTCTCTTTCGCATATCCCTCCGCGCTTTGATCGTCAAGCACTCCCGCCAGTAATTCCACCGACCACTCGACTCCTATCCTACGAAAACCCCCCGTCCGTAAGATCTACAGACTGCACAATTCTTGTGCGAAACGAGACTCCATGCTAGATCAAGTTGAGAAGCCATTTTGATGCGCAGAGGGTGGCATTTGATGGGAACGTGTTGGAACACTTCCAAACAACTTTGGAGTAAAAAGTCGTAATACAATTTTTGGCAATTATCTTGAATACAAAATGAGGTTCCATGAAAAATTGTTGTTCTCCTTATTATTCTTTTTGTCTCCATCTTATATTTTAATACACGTCTGCAGGGTGAAATTTACTGTCGATAAAGTCGGTAATTCCCGCAGTGTTTACCAAGCTAGCTTTTGGTTCAAGCAACGTTTGAATTAAACGCCCTTGGAGTCTCCACGTACTTTAGATGCAAAGTTGTAAATAAATTCCCAAGCTAGACCTTTCTTCAATCCATGAAGCAAACGCGTTAAATACCAAAGGAAGAAAACAAGGGAAAAAAAGTATTTGAAAAGTCTTGGTAATATGATCATGAGAAAATCTAAGTTTTCTGGCATTAATACAAGTCTAACCGTGTCAAAATCTAAAAATCGATAAGGGTTTCTGTAGGTAAAATGAAAACTTCATATTAGGAAACACTCATTTATCGACTCTTGATACTTGCCAGTTGATAATGAAAACTTGTAGATTTCTATGCATGAAGAATTTTGAAAATTAAAGCAAACATCATTAACCTATTATCAAGTAGTGCCAACCTAGTGCCAGCCTAGACCAAAATAGTTCTTGTACTATCTCCTCGATCAATTGCTAACGTATACCCAACCAAGTGCCAGCAAAGCGACAATAGTGACAACCTATTTTCAATCTAGTTCCAAGCTAGTCACAACTAGTTTACCTACCTAACGTCAATTCCATTTGAATAATACACCAAATAATATTTATAATGTCTCACAATATTTGAATTAAAATTTAGTCTTTGGTGTATGAGCCAAAAGCAAAAAAAAAATTGAAAAATAAAAGCACTCCACAATAATAATACAATAATTACAATAATAATACGAATTAAATTTAACTATATTCACACACATACAATTACAATATATAAATACAAATCTATTGCCAAAACAAAGTGTCTATCGTTCGCACTGTTACGTCACCGTAACCTATTTTCAATGATAATAATAATAATAATATGTAGAATAATAATTAATAATAATAATAATCATAATAATAATATTAATAATAATTATAATAAAAGTCAGTAACAAAGATTATTATTTACATATTATTATAAATAATAACTATAAATAATAATAGATAAATATAACAAACAACAATAATAAAAAATAATAAACAACTTTAATTGTAATAAAATTAAATAATTATAATTAACAAATAACAGAACAAATTGTAATAATAAACCATAAACAATTAATTGTAATAACAAAATTATAAAAAATAACGTATGAGTAATAAGGGAAACATTAGGGAATATAATAAGTAAGTTCGTAACACACGCTAATGAAATTTCGCAAAAATGACAATTCGCAAAAACGACAATTCGTAAAAATTACTTTTCGCAAAAATGACAATTCGTAAAAATGGCGATTCGTAAAAATGTCAATTCGCAAAAGTGACAATTCGTAAAAATGGCGATTCGTAAAAATGTCAATTCGCAAAAGTGACAATTCGTAAAAATGGCGATTCGTAAAAATGTCAATTCGCAAAAGTGACAATTCGTAAAAATGGCGATTCGCAAAAATGACAATTCGCAAAAATGAAAATTCGCAAAAATGACTATTTGTAAAAATGACATTTCGCAAAAATAGCTTTTCGCAAAAATGACTATTTGTAAAAATGACATTTCGCAAAAATGGCTTTTCGCAAAAATGACTATTCGCAAAAGTGCAGTTCGGTAAAATGACATTTCGGAAAAATGACATTTGGGGAATAATCATGCGTCCCGCAAATTTTGACGAGAGTTGTATATTGTAAACATTAAATAAAGGACAAATTATCTTATCTGAAGCATTAGTTTCCTTAGCCTACTCCCTTAGTTCAAAGCCCTCCGCTTTGCCAATAAATCAGGCAAATATTTTAACATATACCTTCTGAGACTTAAAATTAATAACAATTAAATTATTAACTAATTAATACTTAATTAATTATTATAGAAAATGCGAAGTAAATTACATTATTTAATAATTATTTGGTTAATTTGTAAATATTTCCAATATTTGAATGTTGTTTTTTTAAAAATTAATAATTATTGAAGTTAATAAAAATAGTTGTTAACAATTTGACGACGGTTAGCTGAATGACTCAGCCGTTGACTGTGTATTAATAAGGAACGCATGTCTGTCCCGTCTCTTTCTACTCAATCTTTTTGGTTTAAAATGTGAAATGTAGTTGCCGCTAGTGGGTCTCGTCGCCCCTCGACATATAATATCTTTGGTACACTTATTCTTGACTCGCCTTTCCTTCCATCGACTGTGTCAGACATCGTTTGAAAATTGCAAATGGTTGCGTTGTAAACACATGATTGCACACGAATGCGGCTCATTGGACCACTTATCTGTCAAAAGTAGTGAGAGTTGGCTGTATTAGCAATGCTCTAAAAATTGCCTTTGAAAAAAAATTCACTTTCTTCTAATTGTTCGCGATAGAAATATTTTTATTAAAAACTCCAAAAAAAAAATTTCTCTTTTTTTTCTCTCTTTTATTTATTCAGTTCTCTACCTAACCCTTATTATGTGAGTTATATGTGTTTTGTAATTTGAACTGCGGTGAAAAATATGTGGCGAGATCGAGGATTTTTTTGTTACCTCATTGTTGTCTCTTTTCTTCTATCACCATGCACTTCAGGTATATGAAATAATAAATAAATATCCAAAATGCATGTCTCACTTTATTTTCATATTTTTATATGTTGTCTTTCTTTCAATTGTCATAGAGAGTTATAATAAATTGATGAAAATTAAATGCGTCAAGCGAAATTAACTTGTCGAATAAAAATAGGGTCACAGTAACTGCTCGCAATTGTTTACTTCCGTTTGATATCATTGAATATAAAGGGATTCGACAAAATTTGTTCTTGGAAAATTTTTGGAGTATGGTTTGAATATTTTAAAAATGAAAAATTTTTATTTAGGGTAATTTTTTCGAAACGGAAATATAGAAATTTAAAAAAAAAATTTAACCTGTTTTAAAATGTTCTTTTTTAAGTCTATTCTTACCACGTGGTGTATGAAAATTTACGAATTTTAAACAATGACATGATGCGACTTTCCTTTTCTTTTGTTAGACATTGTTATCTGATTAGATACGTGACATTCACATCAGCACGAAATTTTCTCTAATAGATTCTATATTCATATACTTTCATATAGTTCTTTTATCATTTTTTTTATTAGTAAAAATTGAACCTAATAAAGAATCTATAAACAATATTAATAAAAATTAATGAAATTATGAAAATTAATAAACAAATAAAATGGACAAACAATAATAAATAATAACTTCATTATAAAATAAAAATAATAATAAATAAAAAAAATAAATAATAACGAACTTTCAATTTAAAATTTTTTTGACATAACCATGATGACTGATACTTTTTGATTAGAAGGAAAAAATCATTTATTAATATATTGATTCAATTAATTTTGATTAAAAATTATTTTTTCAATCTTCGAATTAAAAAGTATTTTATAAAAATATTTTAATGTTTTTTATCAGAAAAAATTATCAAAACGTTCAAATCACTTGATTATAAGGGAAATTTAATTAAAAAATTAATTGTTAATTAATTAAAAATAATTAATTAAATATTTTTGAATTTTAATTAGTGAAGAAAGGTGCAAAAAAATTTTAGGTTATGTTTGTGTTATTTTTACCTAAATTAAAAGTTTTTCTTTAATTCTGTAAAGCGAGAATCAGTTTTTAGGAATAATTTCCATTGAAAAGTTAAAGGAGTGTTTTATATTTCAAGTTAATCCCTTTTTGTGTAATTTCACCTTAGAAATTACAAACATAACCTAAAATTTTTACTTCTTAGATACCTTTCTTCAAAGTGCGTCATATGTAAATTTTTAAACAAAATTTTATTTCATATTTTAATTTTAAATTATTTTAAAATTTTTTACTTCAGATTCTATATGGCTCCAATGTATGGCTGTAGTATTTTTTTTAACTATAAAATATTTTTATTTTATAGTTATTTATAGATATTTTTTATAATATTTTTTTAAAGTCCAGTAATGAACAACTTTGGATTTTTAACTTAGTATGCTTTATTTAAAAATTATTTTCTCCGATTACCTAAATATTTATATAAATATTAAGGAATTTATTAATATTGTATTAAATTTAATTCTATTCTCTTATTGTTGTTCTCATTTCGTTATAATTTTAATTCTGAATACAATAACCCCAGACTTGAAGAGATCTCCGTTTCATTTTAAGAATTTCTTATCTATAAATTTTATCTAAAATGATGAATGTTTCAAAAAAAAAAATATATATATATATATATACGTATTATTGAAGGTATATTGGTATATTGAAGGTGTGAATTTTTATCGATAAATTCAATTGTAAAATTGTAAAATGAGAGAATACAAAGTTGAGGAAGTAGCAGTTTATTCAGATAATGAACTTTGATCGGCTTGAAAATAGATTATATTTAGTCATCGCTTTCAAGGTTTGAGGAATAAAGTGAATATAATTATCAGTTGAATGACGATATTTTAATTTATTTATTAACGTCAATGTACTGTTAACGTGGCTTTGTTAAATAAATCTTTATTATCATCGCACATATGGATGAAATTTCACAATTTTGACATTTTTCGGAGCGCGCTCTCTTGCACGAATTTTAATCATAAACTTAATATAATATTTATTGCCGCATACAGTTTTAGAAGAAAATAAATAAATTCATTTTTTAAAATAAATAAATTTAATAGAATAATTTAATAAAAATTAATACATTTTTAAAGAAAATAAACTTTTTAATCAAAAAACTTATCTTAAAGTAAGTTGTTTTATTTAAATATATATAGTAATGATGTTATCACTTTATTTTTTTCATTTAAATTTGTAATTTTATGTTCCTAAACTAAAACTTCTGATAAAACAAAATTTAGACTAAGTATTTAGTTTTGGCCAAAATTCAAATTTGAAAAATTGTAAAAGATGAAGATTTATTAAATCATGTTTATTATCGACGTTTCGATGAATAGATTTGAAATTCTTATAGAAAACAGAATTGTACCCTATAATTAAATAATTAAAGAAAATGATATCCACATTTTTTTTTTTGAAGAAGAAGAAGAATTTCAATAATAAATGTGAATCTAATAAGAATTCTAAGCTTTCTAAAATGATAATTAGTCTGCCGATGGTAATTTTCTGAAAAACTGGTCTTTTACCTTTGGACAATGGGTTTGTTTTGATAGTAAATAGGCTGGTACGACAACGGGGGGTCGCTCTTAAATTCTCTGTGATCTTCTTGTCTCTCGCTGAGCGGCGCTTTATTCAAAAATAGTAAAATTTAATATTAAAAATAAAAAAATTAAAATTGTTTATTTTAGGTGTTTTAGGGAATTTTATTAATTTTAAGGAATAAAGAAGGGGATTGTAGTAAAAATGAAGAGAAAAGTATAATTAAAGTCTTACATTTTTTAAAATTCAAGGATACGGTAATTTACATTTTAAAAAAATATTTATTTTGTTTCGAGTGTGAATTTATGAATTCTCGAGAATAAATTCTTTATTTATTCCAGAGAATAAATAAATTGTGAAATAAAAGATATACATATTATAGCCTTGACAATGAAGTCTGATAAGATTTGATGTTTCTTTGATATGCTATAGTAGACGCATGTATCATTGTCTGGACGGAAGTACAAACTATGGAGAATTTAATTGAGATAAAATTGCCACACGTTCTCGTCAAACAAGCTTTCTCATATTACCCGCGCTGCACATGCAGTTAAAACTGCATCTTGTTTTGCTAATAAAAAAAATCATTTAATTACAGGAAACAAGAAACTTACATATGTGAAGGAAAGGACATTAAAGAACATTGGAGAAAAAAAACAATTATTCGAATTTCATTGCAATATTATAGTTCTTAGGTTTTTTCTTCATCTTCCAGTATAATTGTGTCTTACAATTAGAAAACATTTTTTCATGTTTCAAAGCAGCAAAAAATTGTTTTTGTACTTGAAAATCATTATAGTTGATGTTGCTAGTTGATGCTTGAATTAAAATCATTATACCCGAGTTGATTGGGGTAAAATTAGTTTAATCTGTACCTGTTTTTATGATTTTTTTAAACAAAAAATTGTTTTTAAACCGAATAATAAAGTTAGTAACTTTTTTTGGATTTTAAAAGTCGCTTCAGAAGACATTCTCTAAAGATTGACTGTTCTGAAGGTTTTGAAGTGAAATCAGATTTCTTAGAAAATTTATGAAGGACTGTTTTGTGCTTTGCTATCGCAACAACAGCTGCGAGAGAATGAAGGTTCTTCTAAACTTTTTTCTAGATTACATTTTTTTATTGAACATGAAGAATGGAAAAAAACATGAACAATTAAAAATTAAAAAAATAAATAACATGAACATGAATAATGAAAAAAAATCATGAACATAAAGATTAAAAAAAACATGAACATGAACAATGAAAAAAAAAAACATTAACATGAACATGAAGAATAAAAAAAACATAAACATTAAAAATTAAAATAAAACATGAACATTAAAAATTTTTAAAAAAAAACATGAACATGGAGAATTAAGAAAAACAACATGAACAATAAAAAAAGAGAAAAACATTAACATGAAAAATTAAACAAAAGAAAAAACATTAACATGAAGAATGCAAAAAAACATGAACATGAACAATGAAAACAAAATGAAGAATGAAAAAAAACATGAACATTAAAAATTTAAAAAAAAAAACATGAACATAAAGAATAAAAAAACATGAACATGAACAATGAAAAAAAAGAAAACATTAACTTGAACATGTACAATAAAAAAAACATGAACATGAACAATGAAAAAAAAGAAAAAACATTAAATTGAACATGAACAATAAAAAAAAACATGAAGAATAAAAAAAATGAACATAAAAAATTAAAAAAATACATGAACATAAAGAATAAAAAAAAAAAATGAACATGAACAATGAAAAAAAAAGAAAAAACATTAACTTGAACATGTACAATAAAAAAACATGAAGTGAAAAAAACATGAACACAAAAAATTAAAAAAAAACATGAACATAAAGAATAAAAAAAACATGAACATGAAGGATTAAAAAAAACATGAACATGAACAATGAAAAAAAAGAAAAAACATTAACATGAACATGTACAATAAAAAAACACGAATAAGAAAAATGAAAAAAATCATGAACGTAAAGAATTAAAAAAACCATGAACATTAAAAATTTTTAAAATAAACATGAAAATGAAGAATGAAAAAAAAGAATATTATAATAAGACGCAACATTTCTTAATAGGGGCTATACCATTTTTATTTCTCTGATTCTAATTTTTGATAATAACCGCGACCTCTAGATTTGAAATTTAACTTTTTTTAACTGTTTTCAGAATGGAAGCCAAAGGCTTGCAACGCACAGGAGATAATAACATCATGTGGAGAATTGGAGCGATGTGTTATGAGCTCAAAGCCAAACGGCACATCTTGGTGTCAATGTTTACGAGGCTATGAATTGCTGGATGGAAAGTGTGTTCAAGTGCCAACCACAGAGAAGGTTCCCACCTCGACAACAAGGCCTGAGAACAAATCAAGCTCCGGAGGTTTTTACCCAATTTTTACTATAAATTTTTTTCTTTTCCCCTTTATTATCCCCTAAAACACCTAAAATTATAAATTTTCGCCCCTTTTGCCCTTATTTTTAAGAAAATTTTTAAAAATTGTAATTTTTTGTGAGACAAAAAAAAAGATTTGCGAATCAGATAAGTCAGCTTCTTCTCTTTTTTACAGGCAGTTCAGTGGCCGCTGGCTTAATAATTCTAACGTTCCTCGTAATTCTCGGAGCGTTCGTTTACATTGGTGCTCGGCGATACAAATGGCTCCAGAGATTCAGACAGTATCGTCAAAATCGCTACGGCAACGTTCTAGTAACAAGAGACGACACCGACGACGATGATCCTCCGATTTCCTAAATCAGGAAAAATCACCTTCTCTAGAAATAAATTGCCTCGCACGCCTGCTATCAGTGCCGACCAAAAAAAAAAAAAATAGTCGCGACAACTAATGAGCCACTTTGTCTCCTTAGTTCTCGCAATTCGATAACAAAATTCGTCATGAATCTTTAGACAATATTGCAAAATTGAATTCTTTTTCTCGGCGTTTTTGAATAAATAGAAGAGGCCAAATGTTTAAAAAGAGAGCTTTACGTGAGTGTGGTAAAAAATGAAAATTTGCTCACCTAAGTTCGCGATAATTTTTTCTTGCGCTTTTCTTGCGCTAACGACTGAAATATTTTTTTTTGATTCGTCACGGATCAGTAATTTTTTTTTTATTTGCATTAACAATTAATAATTAACAATTAACAATTGTGGCGTTGTTGCCAAAAAATGTGATCAACACTTGTTTTTTTTTCTTTCAAAATGGTGCCCGAATTTCGTGAGATTTTTAATATTCTATTTAGATAATAAGTGTCGATAATTTAAAAAAAAAATCGATAATTTTGCAGTAAGATTGCAATCTTCGTTTGTAATGCTTTTTTGTTCGACTTGTACATTCCTAAAAAAAATTACTAACATTGAGGAATTGAATCTAAAAATTTTACAAATCAATGCTGTTTTTCTAAAAATTTTCTCAATTTAGCAAAAAATTGAATAAAAATAAATTTAACAATTATCTAAAAATTTATAAATTGATTAAAAATACGTTTTTCTTTTTGCTTTCCATTCGAAAACTTAAAACCGTTTCAGGTTTTAATAAAAAAAATTTTAAATCACAATTTCTAGTGTCGATTCCTCTTTAATAATTTAAATTTTGCAAAATTGTCGATAATTGTAAATTTAGTAAAATTATCGAAAACGTTGCGGTAAATTATCGCTGGACAATTAAAACGTGACTTATTAAATATTTGTCGATAATTTACACAATTTGAGTTTCGATAATGTATCTCTTCTCAAACTCAATTATTATGTTTGTTCATCTTAATTCTTGTAGTTTATTTCCACGAAAAGAAATTTATTTGAAAATAATTTTTATAAATTATTCTTAAACGAGTAACGCGAATTTTTCTTCCAATTTGGAAATATTTTTTCAAATCTTTTAATTTGTTATTATAAAGGTAAAGTAAATTTGTTATTATAAAAGTAAATGTTGTAAACGTTGTAAACGCTGTAAAAGTTTTTACAAAAATTTTACAAACGTTCTAAAGAATTTTTTTTTTAATTTTATAAAATTTAATTAATTTAATCTAAAAGAGAATTTATTAGAAGTGATGAACAATCATAAATTTCTTTCTCTAATTTGTGCTTCCAACAAGTGTAATGATATAAATATAATAGATAAATACGTAATAATTTCAAATCTTGTACCAAATTAGCGAATAAGTTTTTTCTACTATATAAATATATATATTTGTGTCATTTTTGTAACATAAACGAAAATTGTAAATAATTCGATTAGTCCGTCAAATATCGAATATATTCTTGCCAGTTATATTGTATTTTGACTTTTGAAATACTTTGTACATTGAAGAAACTTTGTACTTTCTTAGTACGGAAGTGAGTCATTTTGTTAATTTTTAATATATGTACATTCACGAAGAAGTGACTTATTTTTTCAGTCGATGAGAGCCATATTAGTAGTGATAAGCTATCGAAAATCTTTGTATTTTTAATATTTCTTTTTTTAAATAATCACATTTTTAATTATTTGACGTAATTACCAAGAATCGATTTTGAAAATTCGAGAAAATGTATAAAAATGAAACTGATTTTGTATCGAAATAAAATCAGACTTTGTATTACAAAGAAAAATATTTATTCTATGAGAAAAATGCGAATTTATAAAAAAAAAATTGTTCTATGCTACGATATATCTTGTATTAAAAAAAATTATCATATCGGGAATTATCAATATCGATTTATTGATCTTTGATATATTTTAATATATCGATTGATATTTTGATACACTAAATTTCTATATAAAACATTTAAATATGAAACTTTTTATACATATTGATTATAGGGCTTTAAAAATATAATATCGATATCAGCGAGATTTTGAAAAAATTATTCTTGTACTGCTTATAAAATTTAGGCATTTGAATACTTTTTTTTTTGAAACTGAAGAAAAAAGAATGTTTGCGAAGAATTATTTTTATTGTCTTACGCTCCGATTCACGACTAGAAAATATTTACTGGTCACTTCTGAAATTTGTTGTAACGAGTTCTTCGAAACAGCCAAAGAAAGTTAACTACGTCTTTTTGTAATCCAACGACGAGAAAACTTTAGAAACCCTTAAAAAAGGAAAAAAAAAGTTTCTTTTTCTAAATTCAGGTTTATTTTTAGCTAGAAGTTTATATTATATAAAAAACAATTTTTTAAATTATTCCAAATATGATGTTCGAATTAACATTATTTTACTTTTTTATTCTTATTGTATTGTTTTTATCATTGATTAGATTTTTTATTTCTTTTTTTAAATTCTTTTTTAAAATTCTTTTTTAAATTCTTTTTTTGTTGCTAATTTTTTTCAGGTTTTTCTAGATTAGAATGTTTTTTCTCTAAATAAAAAAATGTATAGCTAATCTTTAACTATTTGATTATTTTTTTCTCAGGTGCTTTGTAAAATGTCATTTTATTATTGTATCACACTGAAAAAAATATTAGACACACACTTCGAAATCCTGAAGTCTGTTTTTGAATTTTAACGGGAATCGAATAAAGTTGAATGTTGTGTAATTTATTTTCTTTATATCTACAATAAAAGTAAACAAATTTTAATTTTGTGTTGATAACTTTTTCCCAAGAGAACTACTATAACTATCGACTTACGGGAATAATTTTAATTTTGCTTTAGAAACGAACAACTCTTCACTTATGTGCGGTGAAGAAATGAATAATTTAGAATTTATTTTTTCGAAGATTATTATTTATTTATAAATAAATTGTCAAACTACATCTATTTTAATGTGAAAAAAACATGGCGATTGTCATTTTACTGCGTGACTATATTGTTGACAAATGTCAAACTTTTCTTTTTAATAAAATAATATTTAAGAGTAGATTTTTGGTTAAAGTGGTCTGGACTCAATGCGTCTACATGTCAGCTAACATTTCCTACAATATCTTTAAAAATTATTTTGTATTTTTTTGAGAAAACCCTTGGAAATGCTTGGGAATTATTACGCGTACTCTTTGAAGTTGGCTGCAGATCCAAGGCCGCATTCTTTCTTCTATTCTATTTACGATTAAAATACAAATAAGGCACGAAATTTTCTCCAATATAATGCAGATTCTTTGTTTTAAGATCAGATTCATAAAAATTGATCCCACTGTAAGAGTACTTGTTCTTCAAGTATGCCAAAACGTTACTCTCTATCCAAGTATCATTGCCATCTCTGCAGGATGGACAATCACTTGCAGCAGGAAATTGAATTTTCCTATGTTTCGGATCCTCTGTCTCATCGCCAGCCAATCTTTTATTCACCTGATTGTGAGCTCTCCACAACCAGAGGATATTTTCGTCAAAACTTTTAACCTCAAATAAATGTCTTTCTTCAGCCATTTCGACGAAATGCTCCTTACACCATCGACAACCAAAGAAATTTTTAATGTAACCATGCATTGCCTTTAGAACTTGCAAAGGATCATCTTGTTTTTGAATGTTGTTCATGTTCGCAAAATTAACAGTCAATGTGTGAAACATTGTCCACATTCCACAGGGATACCCTCTGAGGAAATTCAAACTACCCTGACAACCAATCCATTCCTCTTTGCCGGTGAAAACAGGAGAGTGTTGTTTTTCAAATTCGGTGGAATATTGACGAAAACTTTCGCCTGTAATGGATGTTCGATTTTCAAGTAACTCCTTAAGATTCAACAAGTAGAGGACTGCGTTATTTTTCTTTGGGAAGTAAGAAACAAGAACGTTTAGGTAATTCTTTAAAGCTTCCATTTTTTCACCATCGATGTTGGCAGTCATGACGACCTCATGATTAATGGAGTAGCGAAGAGCTTTTTCTAGATCGAGCTGAAACACAACATCTCCGGCTTTATGAGCATACTCGAGATTATTCATTTGTACTTCAGAAATGGTTGGCAATTCTTTAATTTCAGTGTCTTTCCTTCTGTCTGGCAAGACGACCTGCACTCCTTGGACTTTGAGTTTGTCTTTTATTGTTTTTTCAATTATTTCACTTGTGGCATTGTTTATGGTTATTGTCGTCTCAGTATTGTCACGCTGAAGAAAGCTTAGAGTGACGGTGGTGTTTGTAGCGTTCGATAATACTCTTCCAATATGTAATTCGATGACTTTTTGGAAATTCACAATCATACTGGTTCCTATGATTGAGTCTGGAGATTCATTTACTAAAATTATGTACTTCACATTTTTTGCTACGGCTTGCCAGATATTCTTCAAATCTTCCGCACTGTTTTTCAAAAGAAGTTAATTATTTAAAAAATTTTAATAAAATTGAATATTAGAAGCGTTAAACCGTTAAAGTGTTAATTTTTAAAAATAATTAAATTTTGTAAGGATTTTTAAATTGAAACCCTTGAAAATTTTAATTCATGTAAAACTTTAATAATATTAACATTTCTGGTATTGAAATAAAATGAATAGTTTTGAAATAATTATATTTGAAAATTTTAACAAAAAAAAAAAAATGATTGAACTGTGAATAAGTTTAATTAAAAATGCTTACCTGTATGGCAAAATATTTGGCCATAAGGAACCACGACCCTCCCGTTCCTCAACTTCAACGAGATTAAGAATAATTTTTTCCATAGCAGCAACATCCTTTACATCCTTCACATCAGATCCAAGTGTTCCTGGTTTAGAATTAGCAGAAAAATATTTCAACGTTGGATAATATACAACATGATGATCTCGACAAATGGGACTGTCATCACCAGCACAGTCTACCACAGCTATTTTTACAAGACTCTGCCAATCTGAAAATTATTAAACATTTTTTTAATTTTTAAAAAACTGTTTTTTTAATTTTTAAAGAACTGTTTTTTTATTGTTTTTAATTTTTAAAAAAATATTTTTTCAACATTTAGAAGACCGGGGTGGTTCCATAGTGGCCACCATTTATCTTGACGAATCTTTCTATCAAACTGACTTCTTAATTATAAATTTTTTTAAATAAAAAAGTACTAAAATCTGTGCAAATTTACCGGCCCTCTAAAGGTTAAATAAAAAACTATTTTTTTAAAAATAACTTTGAAACGTAGAATATATAAGAACTTCTTTACAGATTTCAAATTTATTTTGAAACTTACTTTGAAGATTTTTGCCAACCGTCTTCCATAATGGAGAAAAACGAATGCAATGTCCACACCAATGAGAATAAAATTCAATTATCCAACTTGAATTGCTATTGTAAACATTTGATTGAAAATTGGAATTATTGAGAATAACTACATGATCACTTGGATAATACAATCCCTCGTAAGTATTTCGTAATAGCGACGAACGACTTGACAATGAATTTACATTTTTTGCAGTAAACAATAAAAAAAGTGTTTCAATAAATAAAATTAAATTCCACTGTTTTGGTGCTTTTAATTTCATTTTCGACCATATATATTGAATTTTATATTGTATATATACTAATAATATAGTTTCGTACAAAAATTTTTTTTGAGGAAAGGTCTTCGCCGTAACCAAGGATTACAGCGACTGATTTTTATTTTCCATGTTGTCTCTTTATATACCTTGAAAAAGGCCATATTTTGATGTGCAAAGGCAAAGGAGTATTAGAAAAATGAATTTAGGAAAGATTTAAGATTTAAGACGTAGAAGAAGTAGATAATGCCCACATAGCATCATATATTACGATTAGCTAACGGGTTACTAACCATAACGGAGATAGACTCTCAAATTTTTATAGATAATCTGCAACTTACAGTTATTGCCCAATAATTTCGGCTATAACCGGTTTAAATAAAGTAAAATTTGTAAACAAACATTTTCAAACACGTTTTGAACCATCGACAAGAATATCTTCTTAATTATCTAAATCCAAAAGATTTTTTTTTGATCCATGCAGAAACTCGCGGTTGCAAAATGGGAAATTTGCGACTATAAAAAAAATTGTTTCAAAAATAAGATAAAAAACATTAATATAACTAAAGAGACGCCGAAAAGTGCAAAAAAATTTACGGATAATAAAAATGAAAATAAAAGAAAATTCTTTTTTAAATAAGTATTTAATCATTTAATTTTATTTAATCAAGATTTTCAAAAAATTTAAAATTCAGATCTTTATGAAATTCAGCAATTTTATAATAATTTAAATTTCCATAAAATTTACAAAAAAAAATTATATTATATTTACAAAAATTTTAATAGAATCCTTCCTAAAAATTCAATTATTTTTACAAGTAGTAAAATTTTTCCACATGAATTCAGTTATTTAAAAAAAATGTATAATAAAATATATTACTATTTTAATAAAATTTCTCAAAAGAATTCAATTATTTAAAAAAACGCAATAATATTCGTTGCAAGATTTTAATTATTAAAAAAAAATTTAATAAAATTCTTTGCAAAATTCAATTATTTTCATAAATAACAAAATTCATAATAAGAATTCAATTATTTTTAAAAGTAGGTAATAAAATTCTTTTGGACGTGGTATTTAAAAAAAATACAAGGGGTACTTCCATGGAATTTTTCAACGTAAGTTTTATATAAATATTTTTTACATACTTTAACTGAAAAAGTTTACTGTTCTTTTTTTTATTCTTTATTTATTGTTCTTATAACCTTGTATTGATATCTGTATAATGTCCCTACTGGCCAACAACAAATAAAGTTTATTTTTAGTAAGTTTCTTATGTACGCTATCGAAAATATGTCAAATTTTAAAATCGTAAAATATTTTTGAATGCCATATTTTAGTCGTATGACATGTAGATTTGAAGTAAAAGCAAATACAAAGTGATCGAGCTTGGTTCCTGTTGTTGAAAGTTGCATGGAAAATTAATACCTTAATATTGTGAGTATTTCATTTATATTTTATCAAAAATATTAATTTTTAAAATCAATGAATAATTTAGGTAAAAAAGAAAACTTTTAAATTGAATTAATTTTAATTAATTATTTAATATCGTCCACCATATTGGATCCGCCATTTTGAATTTTTAAAAACTGACTTCAGTTTTGGGACGCTTTCATTCAATATCATTTAACCAAAAACTTTATTAAACCAAAAATTGATATTTCTTCAGTGTCAAGACAATTTATAAAATTAATATTCTCAAACGCCTCGATGTTTGTGACCAATTTACTGATTTGCAAAGTTCCCCGAATGCTCAAAACCTCGAAAACTCAAATCCCCGAATGCTCAACTCCTCGAATGCTCAGAACCTCGAAAACTCAAATTTTATAAAACAATATTCATCTATTTATGAAGATTGTAAACAACAATGGTTGATATTATTAAAATAAAATACGACAATTAATATTTTCAAAAAGATCTTATTAACTATTGACATAATTTACAGCAATTGCGGTAGAACTTGTGTTATTACACAAAGTCCAAGTACATATAAAATATATTTTTTACTTCTTTTCACACTATTCGCATATAGTGTGGAATATTCATATGTTCCTCACAGAAAGTGAATAATTTAAAATAATGCAGAGAAACACTCGCATAAATCATATCATGTTTATTTACAAAATTTTATTAAAACTTCCTAACGACTTGCGGGGGGCCATTCAAAAAAAATGCATTAACATTTTTTTTCTTCTGATTAACAAAAAGTTTACCCTCTCTCCCCTGAAAGCGTAACGTATTTATTTTTGAATGACCCTTTTTTACCATATTCTTAATTGCTAAAAAGAAACGAGAAAAATTATTTTTTAATTAGGTAGTGATAATCTCAAATTGTTTTTGAGTTATTTCGGTTACATTTTCTTTTTTTCATAAATCCAATATTTTTGTTTCACTCGTACATTCTTATCGACAAAATAACATCTAAAATTCATTCTTCTTAAATATTAATAATTAATGTGTGCATTTCTGCGACGATAATTAACCCCATATTATAGGGATAATTGCGAATTCTTATCTCTTATTCGAAATCGACTCATTTTCCTCCAAGTCGACAAATTTAATAAACTTTATGAAAAAATTAATTAATTAACAAATCGTTGGAAAAATTTTTAATTTCTCGCAGTTTGAATTTTTATTTCATTATTTGATATTTATAATGTTCCAATGTTCAGTTTATACAATTTTATATATACTATAAATTGATTTCTAATTCTATTTCATGAATATTTTAGGGTTTGAAATAATTTTTCTAAAAATTAATTTTTAATGAACAATCTTTAGCTTACCATTTATCGAATAAAAATTGATGTCACTGTTTTAAATTTTAAATTTTAATTTGTTTATTAAGTTTTGATACTAGAGAATCATTAATTCCTTGCATATTGACTATATATAATTGCGACAATATTTTAGAAAGAAATTATTAAAATCAAAAGTTAGTCCAAATTCATATTATTTTCTTTTCAATTAAAAACCAAGAGTGGTGAAAAAAAAGAAAGACGTTTTGATAAATTTTTGCTTCTAGCACAAAACTTTTAATACTTAATTATTGTTCTATAAAATTTAGAAAAATTTTCCTACTATAGCAAACTTTTGAAAACCAAATTTTTTTTTAATTTAAATGTAAAAAATACAGTTGGACTAATTTTTCGTTTAGATTCAATTGTTTATAATTTCGATTGAATCGTGTGTATAGTGATTCATTGCGCATACGGTTTTCAAAATAAAATATCCTTGTAAAACTAGACAAATAATACTTAATGTTAAGATCGCAGCTCTTTTAAGTGTAATTTTTGTTTATATTAATAAACGTTCAAAAAAAAATTTTAACTCTCAAGTAGAAAATTCACTTGTATTCTTTTAAACTTTTCGCATAGATTTAAATTTTATTATTCAAATTTTATTTAATTTTTTTAGATCTTTTTTTACATCTTTTTTAGATCTTTTTTCGACCTTTTTTAGATATTTTGTAGATCTTTTTTAGGTTCTTTTTTAGATTCTTTTTTTAGAATCTTCTAAAACTTAAGATCTTAAAGTTGAGGCAGCTGTTCCATAGAAGCTTCAATGGAAAGGTTCTATGAATTTTAATGAAGGTTTCTTTACAATTCCAATATTCTGATGATTGAAACAGGTAACTGCATGTATGCTGTCCTTTCGATCTCTTTGAAAACCTCGTCATTTCTAGCAAAATTTTAGTCACGAACTTTTGTGCGTCAAAATTAGTTTGCTTGATAGAAATCCCACGGTTTTCAAAAACCGAATGCCAATCGGAAGGATATAAGCAGTAACCTGCATCTGCTGTCCAAAATGGAAAAACTTGATAACCTTTATGCAGCTAAACGAAAGGTTCCACTTTGGACAGCAGATACTTTTTTCATCATCAGTTTACAAATTTCTCACTTGTGCTTCACTGATCCGCGCTGATCTAATGATTACAATTCCATCATTCGGATCTGAATTTTCTTCAATAACCAGTGTAATCATGCCAGTGTCCCCTCTGTGATCTGTACTGATTCCCACTGACAAGGACCGCATCAGGATTACTAAAGTAGCCAGTTTTCGATCTGTCGTTATTGTTCCTGGCTAACGGAGCCTGGGGAAGGAATGATGGACTGGGTACAAAGGATTTTTGTTGTTGCTGTTGAATCGGACGCGAGAATTTAAAGTTATTCTCCGACGGTTGGAGTATAGTGTCCCTGCCCAATTGTCTATGCAAAGGGAGGACGAATCCACTTGGTAGATTTGTTTCCTGATTTAAAGACGGTGTGAGGGCTTCGTTTAGTGTCACGTCATACTCGCTTTCCGGAATGTCCTGCAATCTGGTCACTTCGTTCAGACGTTGTTTTACTCTAAAATTCGCTGGACCCGTCGGTTGATCAGGAATATCGTCTTTGAAGAAATTTTCCGATACGGGGATCACACGACCGTTGTTACGCACCGATTGATCCGAAGTCTGATGTTGGTAATTCCAAGGGGTCGTTCTCTCTTGTTCAGGAATCCTTGGTCCTTGATCCACTGGTCTTTTCTGCTCCTTCCACTCTTCCGTCCTTCGAGAGTTTAGCTCCTCGGGTCTTCTTTGCTGCTCCTCGATTCTTCTCTGCTGTTCCTCTAGTCTTCTTTGTTGTTCCTCTAAAAATCGCTGGTGGTCCTCCGGTCGTCTTGGAATTTGGTTCAATCTCTTCTGACTCAATTCGGTCTCGTCGGGCCGTCTCGGTTCCTCGGGTCTTCTTTGCTCTGGTCTTCGGGAGGGAATTTCTTCCTGTCTCCTTGGTGGCAATTCCTCGGGTCTTCGAGGGGTGAGCAAAACCTCTTGTTGCTCTCCAGGTCTCCTGACGTCTGGTCTCCTAGAATCGGAATCTTCCTGTCTTTTCGGGAATAGAGCCTCGGGTCTTCTGTGTTCCTCCGGTCTTCGTTGCTCCTGGTTCTCGTCAGGTCTCTTATCAGTCTGGATAACTTTGTAAGCATTGTAAAGCGTTTTATTCTCCCAACGTGATTGGGACTCTCGATCTTCTTTAAGTGCCTTGAAGCCAACAGGAGAGAGACCTCTAGGATTCGGATTGCCGCCCCTAGAGGGGAGGAAAGGTCTTTTTACAATCCTCACCGGTGCTCTAGGTGGCGGAGTAGGAGCAACTTCCTCCTCGTCATAATACTCCGCAGTATATTCAGTCTCTTCTTCAGTGTTCACAATTTCGGTAGGTGACTTCTGCGTAGGTCTCCAGTATTTTTCCGGTAATTCCTTACTTTCTTCCTCATGGTTCGATTTATGCTTCTTATGTTCCATTCCAGGTCCGGGTCTTTGATCAGATTGATCAATTTCAGGTTTAGAGATTGTAGTCGTAGTCGTAGTGGTTGTCGTCGTCCTGTCATAAATACTGGGTCTTTGGGTCGATTCGTTGGAATCCTGTGTTTCCTTTGTCCTTGATTTGAATCGATCAGTTTCCCTTTCACGATTCAAAGGTCGCGATAAGATTGGTCTCTCCGTGTCTTGAGATCTGCTTCGATCTCTCTCACGATCCTTTCCACTATCCAGAGATCGATCTCGGCTGCGTTCTCGGTCTGTGACTTTATCGCGGTCGTAATAACGATCCCTGGGGCGTTCCGGATGTTTTCGCTGCCGCACGTCTTCATCCTCGTCTCTATATCTAGTTCTGTGGAAAATAAAATTACTCACATTAGAAAGAGGACTTGAGAACTTTACTTTGATTTTGTTTGCGTCCGCGTCTTTTTGTCTTTCTAACAAGTCCTTATGGTTCTGAACGACGAGCCAAGTCTCATTGAACAATTATATCATCTTTGGAATTCGGACTTTGGTGTCTACTCTTTGGTGTCTTGGGAAAGTTCTATGTCTGAGTTTCCGGCTATTAAGTACGTTACCTTACCTGTAGGGTCGATCTAGGTCTCTGTCCCTAGTTTCGTAGAAGTCCCGAAAAGGCGGTCGTCTCCTCAAGGGACGCCTTGGTCTCACTTCCTCTAGATCATCATCATAGTACTCGTCCATCAGAACTGTATCACTGGGTCGTCTTCTCGGCTCTTCTGTAACTAAAATTAGTAATTTAGATTTACCTCGAATGCAACTTGTTTCTGAAATGCAACGAAATGAATGCAACTTTTTTTCTCACCAACGGGTGCTTGCGTTGAGGTGACCTTATAAGCGTATTTATCCTGCTCGGAGATTGGTACCGGTCTTCGTATTTTCGGCGGTGCTCGCGGTCTCGAATAGACCGACGAACTGGGAGCAGCCGGTTTTACAAGTCCGTCGGTATTTCCAGTTGGTGCCGCTACTGTTTCTTTGTCCTCGTATTCGTCCCTGAACCTGTTTTGATATTTTTAGTAAAACATTCAAGAAAAGGGAATTTCAATTCATTATTTAGGGAATTAGGAATTTATTTCGTACCGTTTGTCCGTAATTTCTCTGCTTCTCGAATCGAGGCTTCTGCGATCGTCGAATTCAGGATCTTCTAAATCCTTACTCCGGGAGGTTTCCTGATCTCTGCTTCTGGGTCTCGATTCCTCTTCTAAAGGATCACGAACTGTTGGGAGACGACTGTTGTTTTTTCTGTTGGGTCTCGCGGGGAAACGTTCCCTAGGACTTGTCTCTCTTTCCCTTTCCTCAGGATCTCGGGGACGTTCGCGGAAATCTCGGTTCCTGTCTCGATCCCGTCGGTAGGTTCGTTCCTCATAGTCCTCGTAGTCCCTTCTGTCGTAGCCTCGAGGACGTCCCCTTGGATCGTACTCGTCGTCGTAGTAATCCTCGTAGTAGTCGTAGGCGGGACGTCTCCTAAAGGGTCTTCTTCTTCGACCTGGTTCTCTGTCCCTATTGGCGGATCGACTCGTGGGAGGTGAAGTCGGTGCTGGAGTCGTTGTCGTGGTTGTCGTCGTTGTCGTAGTGGAAGTCGCCGCCTGGTAGAGAGCATCATTTCTATGCCAATATTTCTTTGAATTATTGCAGTCCACTTCGGACACGAAGTGACAGATGAAGGTCTTTTGATCAAACGCCGTGAAGTTGGCGCAGAGGAAATCGTACCGAGTTCCGTAGAGACAGTGATGGTAGACCTGGAAAACAAATTTTTGTCACTCCAGAAAAAGGATAAATAAATTTTCTACTAAAAATCTTTAACCCTCCGTTGGATAATTAATAAACCTTAATGACCATTGAATGTGGGACAATGTTGTTAGAATCGGTCATTAGCATCAGCAGAGGGTTAAATATCACCTATTTTGCAACTATCCCTGCAACTATGAAATTAAAAAACCAGTGGTCAGTTGCGTGCGCTCGATTTCAATTAAAATTTAGAGCATGCTTCGTGACCGATAAGATTACGAAAAAAAACTTTCCTCAGCTCTCGTTTACCTTAATAGGAGATGTTGGGAGTTGGGAAGTACCTTCCATTACATTAAGTTTCATCATATCAACGATTTTATTTATATACAAGTGACAAAACACTTCGTAAAAATTGAAATTTCAGAAGGAAATAAAAAAGAATCCTTTTCTTCCGGCTTTGCAAAAAAAAGTCTCACGACGATCTCTCGACATTTGCATGACAATTGTTTTTGACCGCTTCAGTGCCTCTCGAAGGTGAGGAATCATCGCGGAAGTGTCGGTTGTATCGCTTTCTCGAGATCTGGATGTCTCTTTCACTCTGCGTGAGAGTCAAGGAACTTGGAATAAGTTTGACAAAAAAAAACCATACTTTTACGCATGTACAAAAAAACTAAACTCAAAAATTGAAATCAAATAATTCCTTCTTCGGAAAGTGACTGTGGACAATACAATGACTATCATAGACCATTTTCCAACCCATCGACTCGTGAAATAAGTGATCGAATCATGAGATTCACTATCGCTACGGATGAGTCGACACCTTCTAAAGGATTCGTTCTACTTTGTATTGAAAAAAAAAGAATATGAAATGGTTTGGAGAAATTTCTTTTGTAAAGACAATTTACAGCTAAAATGCCTCTTAACAATGGAAGCTAATGTCAAAATATTAGTGAAACGGCTATTTAGTTTCGATTTCAATACAGATTTTTAAAACGAACCATGTACATACCTAATTAAAACATTCATTACACTTTTGGGAATTCCCTTCTACGGAAAAAATTCGATCGAATAGAATCTGAAAATTTAATATTTCGTTGTGGAAAGTTGAAAGAAAGTTGAAGTAAATTAATATCAAAAATTTTTTTAGAAATTTTGAAGAACAGTCAATATTTTTGTTGTAGAAAAAAATGTCTACTTCTTGGAATACTTTCACAATTTATTTGATAACATAAAACATTATGAACAGCAATGAAAAAAGTACTTTGTGTGAGAATAATAATATAATATTCTATATAAACAAGACTATAATTTATTATTGTAGTTTTAGAATTGAAAAATTCTTTGACTTTTGCAATATAGAAATCTTGATATAGAGGTTTGTCTTTCATTAAGGAAGTAATGAATGGAACAATAGGTTTATTGGCACTTGCGTCACGTGATCATAAAGATGACGGGTATTAATGCAAACGGCTGCAATTGTTGTTGTATATGATAAACTGCAGAAATTGTATTTAGAGAATGGTATAAATTATTAGTTGCGCTCTCATTTTTCTCTATGAGTGGAAGATTCATAAGAAATTATTTTCATTGAAAAATTTCCCATGAGGAATTTTTCAATAAAAAATTTCAAAATGATTTATTGATGACAATCTTAATCATTTTCCCAAGAGTATTAAAGAAATAGAAAAGATGACTGTTTCTGATTATTATAAACAAATAAATATCTGACTGACAATTTGAGGTTGAATAACTTAAAAGTTACGTAAGTGACTTTAAAAACTTAAAAGAGACAATTAATGTCAGTTTAAATATTGAAATGTGATAATAAATTTTGTTTCAAGTACTAAATGAGATATGTGAAAATTACTCCAACTTGCGGTGTCATTTAAAGACACGAAACACTTCAGATGACTATTAATGCTTCGAAAAGTTAACTAAATATTTATTTTCTACACTGGTAAATTCATAAAATTATATAACAATTTATTTTAAATAAAAAAATAAAAAATCTATATAGATTTTAAAAATTAAAATTAAAAATTTTTTAAAAAACAAAAGCAATTATAAAAAAAACTGTTAAAATATAATTTTAAGTTCCAAACAATTAGAAAAACACTGGTAAAATCAAAATTTAAAATTTTTAAAGATTAGAAAAAACTGTAAAAATAAAAAGTTAGGATCCAAAAAAAAAATGTTTAAAAAATTTTAAAATACTTTTCATTACCTGACATTTGTGAGGAACACTGGCATAAAATCCGTCATGAAGACCATCACATTTAAAATTAATATCTTCTGGTATGCTATTGTAGAATGGATAGTCACTTAAATTGTAACCATTTAATTCACGTGGTAAGTTTGGATCCCAGATATAATCGATTTGGGGATTTCCCGTCAGCGTATGACCCGTTGTTCCATTTCCTTCACCCACTGCAATTGTCGTACCCTGAAATTTTTAATGCAATTTTAAAATATTGTATTTTTTCAATTTCTCTTTTTTACCTGAAAATTTAAAAATTGACTTTTTTAATAAACTTTTTCTTATAAATTTTAAAATATTTACGAAAACAAGTGCAATTTTTCAAAATTTGTTACTATTTTTTCAAAAAAAAATTGTACTTTTTCAAATTTTATTTTCAGGAAAAATATGAAACAAATGCGTTCGTCTGAATCTATTATTTTTTAAATAAAAAATATTTTAAAATATTTTAAAGTATTTAAAATTAATTAAAATTAAATTTAAAAATATTTTATTTATAAAAAATTATTTTTTTTTAAGTTTAATTTAAATATTAAATACCTAATCGTGTTTTGAAATAATAATTCATAACTAAAGTTAGTAGAAAGACATTTTTTTTGCGGCAATAAAAATAAACGTTCGAACAATTTCCGGCGGTATAGTTTATTAAATAATAAAAAGCATTTTCAAATTTTGAAGCATTTTAGAAGCATAACTCTAATAACTCTAGAAAAGTGCATTTTAATCTATATTTAAAAATAATTTTTTAAAAAAGTATCTCGACTTTGATAAATTTTCAATATTTGAAAGAAAGTTTGCAGTAGTTGTTGTTAATTAGCTTAATTAACAAAATAATTATAACAGTTTATTCCAGTATAAAATACGAATTCCGGAAAAATGAAATTTCTACATACGTGAGTAAAATTATACTCGGCCAATCAACATATATTGCATTTTATCATTCATTGATGTAATTTAAACAAAATTAATTTTATTTTTTAATTTAATTTATTAATTAAATAAATTATTTAATTTTATTTATTTATGAATTTAATAAATTATTTAATTTAATTTTTAATTTCATTAATTATTATTTAATTTAGTAAAAAATTAATTAATTAACAAAATAGGAAAATTTCTGCAAACAAAATTGTATAAAAATGTTCTTTTAATAAAAAAAATAAATTTGCAAACAAATTGAGTTAGAGTGTTTAGTTATAATTGTAGATTTTTAAATGTTGGTTCACCGCAACTGCGGTGAATATAATCAACCAAAAATTATGTAAATAAGAGGATGTGAAAAATTTAATTCTAAAATGTTTTTTTTTTGCAGAAGTTATTAATTCATTATTGGCATGTTAGGTAAGATGTTTTATGGATTAGCGTGTGTACATGCAAGGAGCAAGTGGCGCCATACTGGATATATTTAATGTTCTATAAATTCGATGGCTAACGTTTATGGCGATTATAATGGCAAATGTGTACATTTTTATACTTTTTTTTTGACATGTGACGTTTTTTTTCTTGTTATACAGAAACTTAATTTTTCCTTGTTTTGTTTCACAGTTTTTGGACGCCTCTGCATTTTTATAAAATTTTATCGAAAGTGGTGCATAAGAGGCGTTATGTAAATCTCGGACCACTTTAGTCAATTCGAATAAGCCTTTCTCTGAATTCATTTGAAATTTTTTCCATCGTATACACTTAGATAGAAAGCGTAAAGTTTTCAGGTTTATTTATTTATTTAAAATATCCAATAGTTATATAAAATAACAAGTAATAAATATTCTTATATATTTTATATATCTGATACTTTTATTATTATATTTTTATTATTATTGTTATTATTATTATTATTACTATTATTATTAATATTCTAGTGGTCGTTTCTCCTGAAAAATGAAATTTTACTTCTGTTAATTATTATAATTATAAATATAACAAATAAATTTAAATTTTTAGCGTAAGTATTCAGTTAAGCTAGTTTCAATTTTTAGGTATCTAAAAATTTTTTTACCAAAAAAAACAAATTTTTTCGCCATATTGATTCTAGATATTTTTATTTTTAAATTTTGACTTTGGATTCGTATTCATTGACCCCAAAAACCCCCGAGTAACCAACGGGATCCGAATTCAGCTAAATTTATAACGAATTTAAAAAATCTTCCGCCATATTGGATCCGGCATTTTGAATGTAAAACTACAACAAAATTCTTATAAAGACTTTTCATTTCTTTTCAAATAGAAGGTGAAAAGGGTTATTGCAATAAGTCCATTTCGCCCACATCCATAAACCATAAAGATGCGATAATGATATACGGTCATAATACAGAAAATATACTGACTTTTACTCGCCTATAAATTCATTATTCCATTATATGACTGTGAGAAAATTGAAAATATCGTCTTAATTATTTTTTTTAACGACGAGTTTCCTTTGTAGGTTAATTTCATTATTTATGGCCGCGATTTGATTGGATGAAAGCTTTGTCAAGGCTGAACTACGATTTATTTTTCATCTTCTTATTATAAATTTATGAAGTTAATTTTGGAAAAATTTCCCTCGCATTTTATTATTTTTTAAAAATGAATTTTTATGGAAAACTTAATAGAGAGTGAGAAAAAATCTATGAGGTCAGTTATTGATGCACACCTACGTGGTTATTAAAATCTCATTTCTTAACATCTATTGTTTTAAATCGTTTAAAATGTTTCTTTGTTCTTTTTATCCTTTGAAAGAAATCATAGATATCGTATATAAAAATATTATGGTTTTAAATTCAGGGATTTAAAATTATATTTGAATCATTTAAATGTTTTATTTTCATCCGTAAGGTAAAGAAATTAAATATATTTAATTTCTTAAGGATTTTTGTACACAAAAATAATTAGTTAATCAGAAAAAATTTTTGTGTTGAAAAAAAACCTGAAAACGTAAATTTAATTTAAATAATAATTTTAGGAGAGAATTTGTAAAATAAAATTTTAGGAGAGGAATAAAAAATGTACCAACCTCAACATTGTCACCTTCGCCATCTTCCGTTTGAGGATCTTCGGTGGACGTTGTGGTTGTCGACGTTGTGGCAATTTTGAATTTCTGTCTTGTGCCTTTGAGAGCGTCCGAAACTGCCGTTGCTAGTAAAAAACCTAAAACAAAAAAAATACTATTAATTATAACAATTAATACAATACCCAACATTTGAATTTTAATATGTGTCGCGCTCTGAAGAAAGGTACCCAAGAAGCAAAAAATTTGAGGTTATGTTTTTAATGTTTTGAGTAAAAATACAGAAAGAGAATCAATTATTTATTATTGAAAATTATTGAACTTCAAGTCTTCGTTACAACCAAAATATTCTATGAAAATAAGTTTCAAATTCAAATAATTGAAAATGAACATTTGAATTTTAAATTGTTATTTCTTTTCCATATGAAATTTAACACTCTTTTTAAAAATTATTCGGATGTTTTTTTTTTAATTAGGAAAAAATTTCTATATCTACTTTTAAGTCCAATTATTTTCGCTTTACATATGAAAAATTATAATTTAGAGTTGAAGACAAATTATAATGTAGTTCGTTTGGACAATGGGACCTTAGAAGAAAGTGGTGAAGAAAGAGAAGAGATCTGAATTTTTGTATAAACAAATAATTAACTTTTCTGTGTTCAGGCAAAAGGGGAAAGAAAAATCCTAATTGAGATGCTTCAGCTTTTATGTCCCTCTAATGCGTCTCCAATCCAACTTCTTTATTTCGAAACAAAAAAAAATCTCTAAAATGAATTCAAAGAAACAGAGGAGATAAAGAAGTAAAGTGCTAAGAGGTCGTTGAAGCGCGTATCCGCGAGTTGCGCAAAATTCTTCAAAGGAAAATAAACACAGAAGCGTTGAAGAAATTGCAAAATCTCATAGTATCGAGAATATAGAAGCGAAACTATCTCGTATCCATAGTATAGAGAGAACCTGCTAGGTGGTATTAGCAACTGAGAACTTTTAAGCGCGAGATATCGTGATGCAATAACTGACTCTCGCGGGGTTATAAAATGCATTTAGGTTGGGTAATTGTCTTTAACCGGATCAAGGCTATACCTATCAATCGTTTCCTCTCGGGCGGTGCGCTCTCAGGATAGGTTCCGTGAAAAGTCGTGCACCTGTTATAAGCGCGATAGTTTCGTGTCTCTCATGACTTCGTGATTGACTGCAATCTAATCACGAGATTGTCTTTTTATTGAGAAATTTTTATAAACTTTAGATTAAAAAAAAAACGACTTCAATTACCGAAAGATCATCTCAGGGATTGGTTTTAGTTCCCTTTTTTACCTAATCCTTTTTTTTACCACTTTTCCTCTTTTTATAGCCTTAAATTAATAAAATCCCCTAAAACACCTACAAATTTTTATTTTTTTATCCTTTTCCTCTATTTTATATTTTATCCCCTTAAATTCATAAAATTCCCTGAAACACCTAAAATTTGTTATTTTTTACCTTCTTCCCCTATTTTATCTCCTTAAATTCATAAAATTCCCTAAAACACCTAAAAATTTTTATTTTTTACCCTTTTATGTTTATAACTTTTTTTAAAAATGAATTTTGTCAATTTGAAGTATATTGTTGAAAAAACCTGTGTAATAGGAACACTTTTCCTGAACAGGGTAAATTTTTTGATTATTTTTAAAATGAAAAAGTGATAAAGATTTCAAAAAAAAATATGTTGTCAAGGTTGGCCCTTACAGTCAAGGTCGGCCCATGTTTGAAATTTAAAGGGCTTTACTACGGAAAAAGATAAAATACATATAATTAATATTTAATAACTAACTTAAAAATTTTTTACAAAAAAATAATTTGCTAAAAAGCTAAAGTTCGAAAAAGCAAGTCAAGTTAGAAAAAGTTACAATAGTATAGTTACAATAGTAAAAATCGTATGATTTAAAAAAAATTAAAAAATCAAAGTTCAAAAGTTGCAGTTTCAGAAAAATCACTCATTTTTATTTTTTCATAATATTTGTCATCATTTTGTCTTCGTAAGGCTATTTAAGAATGTAAATGGTTTAGAAAAAAACAATCCATTTGTATTATGACTTTCTTTTTCGAGGTAAAAAATGAAGTCAAGTTCATGCCTACAAAAAAGCCTTGTGTGTTGATATATGTGTGATGGTATAATTGTCGATTAACACTTTTTTCTAATAAATGAACATATAACTGTTATCGTTTAAGAAACAAAAAAAAAATTAAATGATTCGACAACTTTTTCTTTGTTCCCTAACGATAAAAAGCTATATCTATATAATTTCCTACCTAAACATTCCATAGTAAAAAAAATGTATATTATTACATAATTAAAAAAAACATAATATATAACTGTCATTAAGCGTTATAATTTATAAAATATTTTGTATTAGGAAATAAGAGTAATTTTTTTTTTTTTTTTTTTTTTTTTTTTTTTTTTTTTTTTTTTTTTTTTTTTTTTTTTTTTTTTTTTTTTAAGTCTTTATGTTTTAACTTTTTTCATACAACACATTTTAATTTCTAAATCGTAAACTACTTTTTTTTCGAGATCTATTTCACAATAATAAGTGTAAACGGACTATTTGCGTATATGATATTTAATTAAGGAAAATAGTAATGATATGGGATTAAAATTTATAGAAATATGAATATAAAAGAGTTTGTCGATTAATATATAAGGAAACACGTGTCAAGAATATAAGTAAAAGCGAGAGGTTTGATTTAAAAGAGGTTGAAAAAAAGTATTATGGCTTGTTTACTCTTTTGTGGGATTCACACGTTTTTCTAGTCACGATTAATAAGCAACAAGATATATAAATGGTGCATAATAAAAAAATGGAATACGATCACGTTGCAATAAGGAGAACGACCTCAACATACCACTTGTGGGAAAAGTGTGTAGGCGTGTTTGTGGTTATTGCTTAATAGAGGGCGTAGGGTTTTAAAGGCTATTCTCCATTCTCTATATTAGCCGCATACAATAATGGACGTTTATAAAGTAATTTTAATAATTTTCTACAAAGGAAACCGCTTTTTGCATAAATTTTCCATTTTCCATTTTGAGATTTTTTAATAATTAAAAAAATTTTTAAAAATTAAAATTAAAAATCTAGTAGTTAAAAATCTATTATTTTCTTTTAAATAATAATAATGTTATAAATAATAATAGAAATAATAATTCTTTTTATAAAAATAATAATTTTTCTTTTTTAAGAGAAGAAATTTTAAAAAAACTTCTTTCTTCATCCTAATAGAATGAAGAAACTACAAGTTTTTAAAATCATCTTAAGATTATGTTAGGGATACATTTAAAATAAAATCATCTTATGACGATGTTAAGGATAAATTTAAATTAAAATCATCTTAAGATGATGTTAGGGATAAATTTTTTATTATAAATTTCAAAAAAAAAACTTGTTTCTTCATCCTAATAGAATGAAGAAAGAATAATTTTTTAAAAATTAAAGTAAATAAAAGAAAAGAAAATTTAAAAAATGTATTATTTAAATAAATGTTTATTTGCTTTTTATGCTTTTCCTGATAATAAATATACTTCGAAGATTTTATTAGAAATCAATAGAAAAAATTAATGTTTCTTCATATCAATTTTACATTTATGTAGTGTTTACTATTTTCGATAGGAAAACTATCACTTGGAGGAATATTAATGAGTGATATAAAATAGGGAAGACATTAAAAGTAGCATTGGAAATTTGCATTCAATAAACGATGTTGTATAATTTTATATAAAGAATCGATTTTTATTTCTTTATTAACAAGAGGAAAAACCGTTAACAAATCAAGATTCCAACGTTGTTTGTTTTAACGTATATTCTTTTAGAATTATATTTACTTTTGGTATAAAAATAGAAATTTTATTGTTATTATTATTTTCATAAATGAAAAAATTTATAAATCATCACAAATAAAAAAGTAGACTTCAGATGTGAAAATTTAAAAATATTTATTTTAATGTAAAATTAATTTTATTTATTTAGAAAGCAGTGTAATAGGCGGTAATATATCAAAAACATTGAGAATTTAATAAAATTAATTAAATATATTAATTGTTACAAGAATTATAATTCCTTGATTCGAAATCGTAAATAGTAAATAAATCTTAAACACACACGATCGATACCAAAGATCGTCACGAGCTAAAGATTCTGACAGGCCATTTATTTCCATTTCTATCTTACAATCAATTCATCTGTTTCTCTCACGAAGAAATATATTTTTTTCCATTATATTTTTCTTTCTTTTGTATAAAAGAAAATTGCTACAATTTCGCAATTTTCACAAGTTTTGTTTGCATTTTATATATATAAATAAATGTTGCAATAGTTATACACTATTTTATAACTCGACAAAGCTGGCATTTTTTTTTTAATGCAGGAAAATATAAAATTTATATTACGCCATCAAAAAGGGAATAAAACTTGATAATATAGAGAGAATGATTTTTTTGTCGAAAAATTCTAGTTGTATAGGGTAACTGCACCAATTGCCGAGGGTGCTCCAATTGTCGAGGATAATAATTTTCTTTTTTAGATAAATAGTATAATATATAATATTTAAGAACAAAAAAAATTTCTAAATAATCTTTGTATTTTCAACTGTATATTTATATATACAAATTTCGTAGCGATTCTACTAAAATAATTATTTAATTAATATTATAATTCACTGCTGTGAAATTTACACGAATCTCCGTTTTCTTAATACTTCAGGTTGATTAAAAGAGATTTTTAGAAATGCAAATTAAACGTATTTATAATGACTTTTTGTGTACAAAATTATTATTATAATTTTGTACACGAACTAAATTAATTTTGTATGCATGTTTTTTTGTTTAAAAAAATATTTAATATTTTTTAAAAGCAAATCATCGGTATTTGGTTCCTTTTTTTTTGACAGTTCCATTTTTCGAGGTAATGACTCGAAAATTGGTGTAGTCACTTTTTTCGCTGATGTACCATTTATCGATGGTTAAGTGTTTATTTACTAAACGTCAAACATAAATACTAAACATTTATAGGTACAGAGAAAAAGAAAAAAAATGCTCCAAAAATTTACAACCAACAGAAAATAATCAACCAAAAAAAACAAGGAAGACGGAAAAAAATTAATAAAAAAAATGCATTATTTAAAACTAAAAAATTTTGTACTATAGTTTAATTATAATTAACCATTATATTTACAGTTCATAATAAAAGTTGATTTTATTCGTTTACAAATTTAATGTGACTTAAATTAATTTATTTTTTCAATTAGTGTCTGATTAACAAAATTGATTAAATTTAATTAACTTATTTATAAAAGTTTAAAAAACAGTTAAATAATTTTCTGTCCTGTATCGTCTACTATAAAAATGTTTTATATCGATATTATAAATTATTTAATTATAGTTAAATAAATATATTTGATTTCTGGTAATGTTCTATAATATTTTTATCGAAAAAATAAATATCTACTTGATTTTCAAATATCTGTACAGGTTAATTGTTAGGTTATATTGGGTTATATGTTTAAAAATGTCATACCCTCGACAATTGGAACAGACCCTCGAGAAATTAGCACAAGACCATCGACAAATGGTGCTTTTGCTCGATTGACTTTTAAATATATTTTTTGCTTAACAATTTAGTTTATATTAAAAAAATAAAAATGAATATTAAACATTATTAGATCCTTCGTCCAAATATACAAAAATCAAATTTTAAAGTGCATTTACTTCCGAGAAAAAAAATGTCAAAGTCACATGTTGCCTAAAACCCTCGACAATTGGTACAGTTACCCTATTTTTTATTTAGTTATTTTAATAAAATTTATTTTTAAATACATTAAAAAAATCTTTACTCTATAAATGCGTTGTTTTTATTTTGAAAATTATAAAAAACTTACTATTTTTTACTACAATTTATTTTAAAATAGTAAAAATGACTAAAAAAGAAGTCAAAACAACTGAAGAAATAGCAAAAATCCTTCCTCTATGAGGAACCAATTTTAAAAAATCCCAAAAAATTTTGTTTTTGTTGAAAAATATTATACTATCTTTGTACTAAAATTTATTTAAAAACAGTCAAAATGACTTAAAAACAAGTCAAAACAACTGAAGAAATAGCAAAAAAATCAAAAAATCCCAAATAATTTTGTTTTTGTTAGAAAATATTTTAAAAAAATCTTTACTTTATAAATACGTTGTTTTCATTTTGAAAATTATGAAAAACTCACTATTTTTTACTAAAATTTATATTAAAATAGTCAAAATTCCTAAAAAAAAGCTAAAACTACTGAAGAAATAGCAAAAAATTCAAAAAATCACAGAAAATTTTATTTTTTGTTGGAAAATATTTAAAAAAATGATTTTACTTATTTTTTTCACGTAACCATAATAAAAGAAGATAGTAACTATGAATTGCATGCAGTAAAAATATTTTTACTATTTTAAAATTCATTTTCCTTTTATATTATTTAACACGCTACGTGACTTTCTTCAGCTGCTATTATTTCTTTTCGAAATAATTTTTTTTTCCAAAAACTTATCGATATTCATAACAGGCTTTTTCCTTCCCATTGATGCATTCCTCTTCGTTCAGACGTCTTGAATTTATCATTGAAATGTTCCTTCGCTTCCATTCAGGATTAAAATTCTCGAAAGCAGAGAAATAATTTTATCAAACGTCGTTTTACGTGAAAATATTTAAAATCTTTTCAAGTTCAATGAACAATGTACAAGTCATTGAAAAAAAAACATTTTTTCTGAGTCTATTTTCCAATTTTTGATCCATTTGAAAAACAATCTTTTAAATAAATTTTAATTGCAAAGTTTTCAAATTATATATTTATTAGGAAATATTATTTCTTTAAAATAATTGAATTCCTGTGAAAATTTAATTATTTTCTTACAATAATTGAATTTTAGCGCAGAATCCAGAATTTTATCAAAATTTCAGAAAATAATAAATAATATAGCCTACATAACTTTTTTTTTTAATTTTTGAATCTAAAATTATTCAAAAATTGAAGTTTATATTTGAAAATAAAAAATCATTTTAATTCGATATTTCTTTATGAAAATAAAAATTTATTAAAGGTACATTTTCGTACAAAAAAAAACATTTTTTTTATGTGAAATATTCGTAATTATTATAACTAATACAAAATTTCTAATTTAATATAATTTTTCTTAAATATACAAACAGTGAACTTTTCTATTCTCTGATTTAAAAGAAAAGAAAAAACCGTTTAATACTTTTCCGAATTAAGAAGCAAATCTGAAATATTTTTAATTAACCAATATTGAATTTTTAAATCAATATAATTTTTTTAAATAAACAAACATTGAACTTTTTTTATTCTTTCAATTTAAAAAAAAAAAAGAAAAAAGTTTAATACTTTTCCGAATCAAAAAGCAAAGTTCATCCCCTGAGTCTCTTTTTTGGCATTTCAATAGACACTTGCACCTCATCATCACTTGAATCAATTAATTCATCATTAGAAGGATTCTTTCTCTTTAATCCCCGTTTAATATTCAATGCCAAAAATCGTCCATAATTCGAAAAAAAGTCACGATAGTTTTCTTTTTTGATGTTTGAAGAAACGAGCTCATTTTCCATGTATGATGTTATAGCCTCTTCATCGGCGGTTAAAATACGGTAATAAGTTATGGAAGGGCAAACGTAGATTTTCTGCAATTTCTTCAATTCATTTTTGCATTTTGTATAATAGGGTTTGACAAATGTCGACTCGAGTATTTTTTTATTTTGCAGAGTGATCCTTGTGCCGAGTTCTTCCATTTTGACAAGTTCGCGTGTCAATAGTTGAGCTATCATTCGATAGGGAACTGGATCTCGAAAAATGGTAAAACCACCATTATTTTTGCAGGCATTTATGTATTTTGATACATTGAACAAGTATTGTTTATGTGTGAGATTGTAGACTTTTCTGTTTTCTAATATATACTTTCGATTCGATTCAAGTATCGAAATACGTCTTTCTTCATCGACGTCATCGTCAGAATCATAGGAGATCCTAAATTCGGGACAATAATAATTTTCCTGAATTTCGTTTAAAAGTTTTTGTAAATTTTCCACGGAGTATTGGAGAGGTGTTTTTCCATTTCCATCAGCAATATTTGCGTTCGCTCCGTGTTTCAGCAGAAGATGAACCGTGTGTGCCATTCCCTTACTTGCGGCATAATGAAGAACTGTTCCATTCTTTTTCGTTGACCATACATTCGGATCCATGCCAATTTCAAGAAAATACTTCAACACCATATTCTTTTCGATCCATTCCCATTGACTGTATACCTCATAATTGGAATCACGGGAGGAATTCAGAATCAAACACTTCAGCCCTTGTCCAAGCAAATGTTCGCTTTTTATTTCCTCCTTGATATTGGCTCCATTTTTTATCAGCAATTTAATAAGTGTCATATTATTGTTCGCCAGGGCTAAGGTCAATGGACTTGAGGAATTAATAAAAATACTCTTCTCCGGATAGTGAGCTAGAAGCATTTCTATCATTTTCTCCTTATTCAAATGAATCGCAATATTCAATGCTGTATCATCAACGAATTTGAAGATTTCTTCAATTTTTTTCTCATCACACACCTTCCATGCTTCCTGACTTTTGAATATTCCATAATGTAAACGATTTGACAAACGTGATGCCAATGCCTCGGTACATTTATCGTTTTTCCATTCTGATAATTCCACTTTATGTACTAATTTTAATTTTCCTTCAACGTTCGCTCCTTTCTTCAACAGCATGTCCATTGCTATTTCATTGTCAAAGTAAGTGGCCGCGATAAGTGGAGGACAGAAATAATCTTCCTCTAGTCTGGAATATGGAAAGCAAATTTAGGTAAAATAAATAAATAAAATCTGTGTGTCACGCTCCGAAGAAAGGGACATAAGAAGCAAAAAATTTGTTTCTTAATTTTTCGATTAAAAATACAGAAAAAGAAGCAATTATTAATCTTAAAGTCCCAAGAAATTCAATGAAAATTGGTTACAAATTCAAATAATTAAAAATAAACTTTTAAATAAATATAAAACGAAGCTAACCTATAATTTTGGGACCTTAGGACTTCTTAGGGTCCTTTCTTGAAAGCGCGTCACATAAATTTTTAAATAAAATATAAAATAAAATTTGAAAATAAATAACAAACCCGTATTTTGAGGATATTTTGGGATCAACATCGGCTCCGTATTCTAGTAATAATTCAACAATAGAATTATGTTTTTTCAAAACTGCGCCAAGTAAAGGAGGCAAACATGATTGAATCACAAAATTTGGATTAACTCCCATCTCGAGTAAAAATTTGACTACTTTCTCTTCACGATTAAAAGAGGCAAAATATAAAGCGTAATAAAGTTGTTCATCTTTTGTATCGAGGGGAATTTTATCAAATTGCTTTCTTACTACTGTTTCGTTTCCTGTTCTTGCTGCGTAGACAAACTCTGAATTATAATCTCTCATCTTGCTGTTTAAAAATAAGAAACTATTATTATTATTATTATTATTAATAATTCAATATTTTTTGGAAACATAAACTTTACAGCATAAAATATTATTATTATTACAGGCTTCGTATATTCTATAATTAATTTTAAAAAATATTCAAATGAAAGAACATGATAAAAAATACATACCTGACGTTTAATTTACTTCTGATAAAATATAATTTTTTGACCTACTTTACGTAGAATTATCAATTACATTTTTAATTTTAAGTAACGAGCACAATAACATCTGAAAAATGCGGTTCAATGCGGTTATGGCGAAAACAAAAAACGAGATAAAGAGGGCAATTTTTTTTCTATATAATTTCGTTCATACGTCATGAACTAACAACATTTTGATAGATATGTCACGACTTTTTAAATCGCCGTCAAAACATTAGGGTGTATGTACAATAAATTTTAATACGTTTTTTTTATCAGTTAATGTATTTTTTATTACAATTTTATTTGATTTACATTATGTTAGAAGTTTTTTTTTTATTAAAATGAAAGCAAAATTTTACAAAAACTTTAAAAAGCACAAAAATAAACTATATTTTTTACTTTTTCGTTTAATTATCATAAGGTTATGTACATAATTTCCTTTAGTTGGCAACATTGGCAAATATATTTATGGAACGTTAAAAGAAAATATTTTTATTTTTCTATAATTACAGATAATAATTTTAGCATAAAAATATTTTTTTTATAAAAGCGATTAAAAAGAGAAAAAAGATGTTTGAAAAACAGGCATAAGATAATAAAAGAATCTGCATAATGAAGGTGAACTTCTGTTTACAATTCTCCGGTACATTTCTTGTCAGGTAAAAATGTGCTACTATTATTTTGTCAGCGAAAAAAAAATTTAATCTCTGCTTGCTAATGGAAATATAAAACAAAAATTCATTTTTTTTCGTTAACAAATATAAATATTGACCAGGGGGATTCCCGGGACGGCAACAAGAGAGTTTTGTGTGAACGAACCTTTAACCGTTAACTGACAATTTAACAAAAAATGCTTCTGTGGAAGGTCGTCCGCCGTGTGTTCTGCATTCCTTTCCGAATATGGAAAGGCCGAAAATACCGAAGGCTCTCAATGCAACCGTACTTCCAAGGAGAAACGGTTCCGAGAACAAAGAATCAACAATATTATTCTTTTCTGGTCTTTGCACCTCTCCTTTTGCGAGTAAATAAAAAATTCTTTTTTTTGAATTTCCAATGAGAGTTTCGAATGTATTTTACTTGAGAGACTCGGACATTTTTTTTACAAGCAGGGAATATAACTGCGCAGTAGATCTTTACATGGCAGTTTTATGCGCAATGCAGTTGCCGATAAGGAAAGGGGAAGCACAGACTTGAAAAATTTGTTTTTTTATGCTGGACTGGTTGTCGATTTTTTTGTGCTGAATTTTTATTTTTATGTTACTTTTAGGGTATTTTCTTTTTCTTAACCTGACGGACTTCAGGCGGAGCAAAAATTACTTCGAATTTTAAAGAAATTTATATGCCACGAACTATGTAAAATTTTGATAGATGCGTCACGACTTTTAAAAACGACGTCAAACAGGAAAGCATATATATGCATTTGAGTGTAAGGGAAAGGCCAAAAAAATTAATAAATGTATTTGGAATGAGTTACTCACCATACAAAATGAGTAGGAGCCATCTCCCCTCCCACATATTGGGACTTCTGCAAAATAAAAACAAAACATGAAATAAATCTTTTAAAGACGTCAAAATAAAATCTTCGATTAAATAAATAAATAAATAATAAATAAAATAAAACGTAATTAATGAGGCACATAACCTTAAAGCGAATGTCAGTTATAGACGCTTTGTAAGGTAGAATTGTTTAATGGTGCTTCTACAATACGTCCGAAAACTTAAACTTGCCTTTTGGCAAGTATTGTAGAAGCACCTTAAGATACATTCAAATGCATATATGCCGTCCTTTCGGTTTGACGGCGTTTTTAACAGTAGTGTCACTTCTATAAAAATTTTGTTAGTTCGTGACTTATGAGTAAACACCACGAACTAATATTTTTATAGATTTGCCCCGACTGTTGTAAACGTCGTCAAACTGAATTACTGGAAAAGCATAAATGCATTTAAGTGTACAATAATCCAAATTTTTTTGTACTCTTATAAAAAAGAAAGCTACCGGATAATTTTCATGTTCTTAAGAAAAAAATCTAAAATTCCATTAGGAATGTAAATTAATCGGACACAACAGTTGAAAAGTTGTTGGATAAAAAATTCATTTGTTAAAGGAATTCCTCTTAATCCCCCCCTCCTCATTATACAAACAACTATAATAGGAATGTACGTGTATTCACTAATAGTTATGCAAAGTATCATACAAGCTATAGTACCTCGAGAAATCGAAAACTGCACTTTCGTTATTGGCGTACAAACATTTTGTTCTTATTTCGATTCCCGACGACGTACATAGCGATTGAACTCTTTTTTTCTTCTTCTTCTTCTTATATACGGTGAAATCGATAAATCTTATTTGTTTATAATTATAGATCAAGGTATTTTCATGATAAAACTTGTGTGTGTGTGTGTGATGGACATCCATTTTTTTCTATTTTGTAATTTAGAATCTCACTATACTTAATCAAATTTAACATCAAACCACTTTCACTGCATTACGTTCGTTTATTGAACTCGAGTCTTAATAGAAATGGCTAGTTTATTATTTTATCACTGTAGTTAATATTTTTTATGATTATGATACGTATATCTTAGTATAGTAATTTTCCGTAAAATGTACGAAGCAGTAATTGCAAAGCATGAGTTAAAAAAGAACAGAGATGTGCTTATGTCCTTTTCTCGTATTCGTATTTCGTTTTGCGTTATTGTGCACTAGCCTTTAAGTTCCTAGAAAATAAGGGTGCAGTCACAACTCTGAATGGTTGCCATGGTAGCGTTCAAGAGTGAGAGAGATAAAATAATTTTCTATCTCTCTCACTCATGTACGTTACAATCACTGTGACTGTATTCTAACCTCAAAATTGTTGCTTTTTAACCGTGTTTTTTACAGACAAATTTCTCGCGAGTAAAAATATCGTTTTTAGAAATAAAGTTGATTATAAATCAATTGGAATCATAATATTGTTAAAGATTTTGTAGAAAGGCAGTAAAGAAATTGTTTCAATTAAAAAATTTTCTCTTTATTTTATTTTATTTACAATTTGAGGACTTGCAGACTTGAAAGATCACGTTCCTCGACGTAATCGTGGATAATTATATAGCAGACTCTTCTCTCACTAGAAAAAGTAATAGTGGGTCATACCTACACGAAACACTTCAACACACTCTCTTCCGTTTATAGTAACGTATTTATATATAATTCACTATTTTAATTTCCATTGTTATTGGAGAAAATTTTTTACTCTGTAAATAATTATTTTTCTCGTTTTTAAATACTATTGACCGTTTTTTAATTGTATAATTTCTTTCTTTATTTTGATGAATCTTTTTCCTTGTAGGATAGACATTAGAAGACATTAAAATTACGTTTTGCTTAGAAAAAAGAGTTATATAATGTTTGTTTGATAATATATGTGACGCGCTCCACGAGGTAAACGATTTTAGGTTATGTTTGGTAATTTTTACCGTGATTAAACTTATACTTTTAATTATTCGTTTTGTTTGTTGGCTTCTTGTACCCGTAGGTCAAACATAACCTATAATTTTTCGCGAAAGTCTCTTTCTTTCTTTAATTAGTACGATAGAAAAGGAAAAAAAAGTAAAAGTTACTAGATTGTCCCTAGACCGCCCACTGTCGATCCAAATAAAAAATCTTCGAAATGTCGTAATTTTAAGCACGTGTATTATTATTTTTTTTGACGAATAAGCCGAATTGAAATCAATCGTCTTTTTTTTGCTTTTCATGTGGATAAAGATCGCGTATTGTGAATTGGAGCACTGCACACCAGCCAATTAGTTTTAGTTTCCGACACGCTCGTTGATTTCTAAGAATATCTCCTGCTATTATGTCAAAAAAACAAAAAATTCTTTCTTTCACATACGTGTGATTTTTTATTAAAATAATTTTATTAACACTTTAAAAAGGATTATTAAGTAAATAATTACAACGCCGAAAGTAGAATAACTGCGCTCTTCGATTGGCTGTTAAAATCCAATATCCGATGTGAGTGCACCCTAATTAGAAATTGAGACGCGGCGTCCTTGTTCACACCGACCCAACCCTGCTTTAGTGAAACTTTCTTTGGTGCTTTCTTTTGATATTCCCCTTTCTTTGTGTCAACTGCTCTGTAACGCGTCGTATTTAATTTCGCCTGTGAAATTTTTTCATAATTTAATTATAAAAGACGAATCGATCAAAATCAAGTATACGAATTTCGTCTTCCGATAGTAAGTAAAAATTTTGATGTAAAAATATAAATAGAAATCCATTATTTGTGTGTAGTGATTTCTCAGCAAAGAGTAAATGTCATAATTTAATTATACAAAATTCTTAACCTAAACACACAAATCATACGCATTCATTAATTTTAATTTACGGGGACGTTCATGTTTATTAATTTTTCTTTAAATCATAATTTTCTGTTTTTTTTTTAAAGAGGTTATCTCACTCGGATGACGCATAAAATTAAAATGTCAAAAAATCCTATCCTTCAATTAAGGAAAAATAATACAAACATAACCTTAAAATACTTTACTTTTAAATAAAAAATTCCTGAAAAAATCGTAATTAATAAAATTTTCCTGCTCTTTCTTTATATAGAGCGATGAAGATGAATTTCCAAACCGAATTTGTCTCTGCAGCAAGAGATGGAGATGCTGCAAAATTTAAAGAAAAATTCCAGGAAATATCCTTACGGGAAGAAAAAAATGAGCAAATTTATTTTGCTTTATATTTCGCTGCTTTTAATGGGAACATTGAAATTGTGAGATTTTTGATGGAATGTAATGTTAATCCGAACTTCACCGTTGGAACATTTCTCACACCTTTGCATGCGGCAATTTTTAAAAAAAACCACGACATCGTAGAAATTTTATTAAATAATAATGCCATTGTGGAACCCAAGATAAGACTTGAATCAGGGTTCGTAAATCTTATTTTTTATTCGGAAATTTAATTTTAAAAATTACTACTTTAACTTCTCTAAATTTATTTATTTTCTAGAATTTTTTATTAAAATGAAAAAAATGGGATATTCTCTCAAATTTTATTAAAATAAACTTTAAATTTTAAAGAAATTTATTTTCTAACTTTAAAAACTTATTTTTAAATATTGCACTTTTTTATAGAATTGTAAACTAAAAATATAGAAAGTAAATTGAATTGTAAAAGAAATTTTTTTTAATAATCCAATTATCGTAGTTTAATTTGAATAAAAATTAATTTAAAAAAATGTCAGTTAAAATTTTTAATAATAAAGGTGTATAAGAAGATAGAACTAGAATTTTAATTCGAAGAAATAATTAAATTTCCAAAAGATTTTAAATTTAAAACTTTTTAACATTTTAACAAGAAGTGAAAATATAATAATATTTAAATGTCTATTAAAAAAAGTGATTAAGAATAATTAAATAATGATTTTACTTTAAAAATCATTGGTCATAAATACCTAATTTTATTTAAAAAATTTTTAAAATAATTAAATTTTGAAAAAATAAAAAAAAAATTTATTTTTCTGAATAATTGTAATTAAAAATTTTTTCAAAGTAATTGAATTCCTGAAAGTAATTTTAAAAACTGAATATTTTATTTTTGTTTTTGAATATTTTATTAAAACAATTTAAAGATTTCGCAAATAATTTAAAAATAATTTTGAAAGATAATCGTAGTTTTGATGAATTTTTAGAAAAATTATATTTTTTGAAAAATAGTAAATTTTCATTAAAAAGAGAAATTTTTTTTTATCTAACAATGGGTTTTTTTAATGTTAGTTACAATTATCATAAATAATTATTTACAATTTTTTGTTTTATTGTGATTGAAGGCACTTAACGATCACATATCTCGACTTTATTTATTTACTACAAAATTTTTAGCCACTTTTTATTCTAATTTTACAAGAAAATTTCCTTTATTTTTCACTGAAGAAAAAGATTATTTTTTACAAACTTTTTAAGTCACTTTTTATTCTAATTTTACAAGACAGTTTCTTTCTTTTTCAGTGAAGAAAAGGATTATTTTTTATTATAAAATTTTTTAGTCACTTTTTATTCTAATTTTACAAGAAACTTTCCTTTATTTTTAACTGAAGAAAAGGATTATTTTTTATAAAATTTTTTAGTCACATTTTATTCTATTTTTACAAGAAAATTGCTTTCTTTTTCAGTAAAGAAAAAGATTATTATTTTTTATTTTTCAGTGAAGAAAAGAATTATTTTTTATTATAAAATTTTCCACTCACTTTTTATTCTAATTTTACATGAAAATTCCCTTTATTTTTCAGAGAAGAAATAAATTATTTTTGTTCTCCCCTCATCGCTGCGGTCTTCACAAAAGATGGAAAATTGGTGGACACACTTTTAAAAAAAGGTGCCAATATTAATGCAAAATTGTTAGCGGTAGAGGAGGAGAAACTGAAGGATTTTATGGCGAACAACAAGAAAGGTGGAAATTCTTCGAAAAACATTTTAAATTTTGGCACCTTCAAATACTACGATTTAACAGCCAAATCAAATTCGTTCTCTATTGCCGGATCGTCAGTTTTGCATCTGGCGATAAAATCCGGCAATGAGAATATTATAAAAAATGTATTAGATCAAGAAGGCATTGATTTAAATCCCAAAAGTTGTAATGATTTAACGCCACTGAGTCTGACTTGCCATGGGGGTAATTTGGCACTTGCTAAAATTCTCCTGAAAGCTGGAGCCGATGTCAATTGTACTGTAGATAATGGAAAACAAATTCTTGGCTATTGTCTGAAATGGTTGCACGATAATTATTTGAACAAATTTTCTTACTACAAATACGATAAGATGGAGTGGATCGAGTTGAACAAACTTTTCAGTTACTTTTTGAAATTTGGCGCCAATCCGAATGGATGGTCAACGGGAAAGCGAGGAACAGTTCTTCACTATGCCGCGAGCAAGGGAATGGCCCACTCGGTTCATATTCTTCTGAAACACGGCGCGAATCCGAACGTCGCTGATGGAAACAATAAAACCCCTCTCGAATATTCGATCAGTAATTTACTAAAACGTTTGGACAGGATTCAAAGACTATTTTCATTCACGGCCCATGTCGACGATTTCGACCGTCGAATCAGTGAAGAAAGACTCGCCGAACGTGAAGCGGATCGAAAACGAGAATACGAGAATCGAAAGATCTACAATCTCACTCACAATACGTACACTTATAACGTAGTGCAATATATAAGTCACTACGCCGATGATGGGGGTTTCAACACAGTTCGTGATCCAGTTCCGAATCGAATGGTAGCTCAACTATTGACCCGAGAACTTGTCAGAATGGAAGAGCTCGGCACAAGGATCATTCAGCAGAATAGAAAAATACTCGAGTCGACATTTGTCAAACCGTACTATACAAGATGTAAAAATGAATTGAAGAAGTTGAAGAAAACGAAAATTATCGATGGTTTGAGTTATTATGATTTTCTGTTCGCCAGTGAAGAAAAATTGGCCGAATATATGGAGAACGAAAATATTGTCTCCGAATTTAACGAAGGAAATTATTGTCGACTATTTCCTAACTATAAACGGAATTTGAAATTAAATGTTAAACGAGGATTGAAGAGGAATAGAGACGATGATGATGATGAGGATTCGACTGGTTCCAGTGATGATGAGGTTCGAAATTCGACACAAATGCGGAACACAATAATAAAATTCTGGAGATCGTACGAAGATATGTAAGAACGATTTCAAATATCGAAAACCTTTTTTTATTTTGAAATTTAAATTTGATTTAAATTCTTCTTCTTTAAGTTCTTCTGTTATTTAAATTTACTTCGGTTAATTTATAAATTATAAACGATAAAAATTATAAAGAATTTGATTGAAATTCTTCTTTTTCTTCTTTTAGTTCTTCTGTTATTTAAATCTACTTCGGTTAAATTACAAATTCTTTTACTGATGTAGATTTCACAAATCTAACAAATTTATTTGTTTTGAAACTTAAAATTAAAATGTTTTTCTATTATTATATTTACTAGAATAAAATCAGTTTCTGTATCATTAGATTACATTTCATGCAAATTCGGGAAAAATTGTTTTATTCTTTTCTGTACTGAAAAATATCGATGAATAAATTTTGATTTTTCTATTTAAAAATAAAAAAGTTTTTCTAATAAAGAATTTTTTTTATTTGGACCTTTTTTTTAAATAGAATGGGAATAGTATGAATTTTTAAAAAATAAGTTTTTCTCCCCCTAAAAACTTTAAAAACAATTATGAAAATTTAGGTTTGCAATTTCTATAACAAATTGAATTTTCTAATTCAAATAATATTGAAATCTTGAAGAAATATTTGAAAATTATTCAAATAATTTGTTTCGAAAATAATTCTAAAAATTAGAATTTACAATTCTAAAAATTAGAAATAGAATTCTAAAATTCTAAAAAGGATTTTTTTTACTCTATCGCCTTTAATTTTCTAAGGTGAAAAATCCCTTTCTTTTAATCTGAGTCCTCTTTTAAAAAATTAAAATACCCTTTCTTCACCTATTATTATAGGTGAAGAAAGGGAATTTTTATTCTTTTTTTTTAATTTTTAATTAAAATCCCCTTACTTCACCTATTATTACAAGTGAAGAAAGAGAATTTTAATCTTCACCTTTCTTCACCTATTATTATAGGTAAAGAAAGGGAATTATGATTCTTTTTTTTAAATTTTAAAAATTTTTTAATTAAAATGCCCTTTCTTTACCTATTATTACAGGTGAAGAAAGGGAATTTTCATCTTCACCTATTATTACAGGTGAAGAAAGGGACTTTTCATCTTCATCTAATATTACAGGTGAAGAAAGAGAATCTACACCTTTATTATTTATTAATTTAAATTAATTTAATTAATTTAAATTTTAATTAATTAATAATTTGAATCACCTTTTGTAATCTACACCTTTCTTCACCTATTATTATAAGTGAAGAAAAGGAATTTTAATTCTTTTTTTGAAATTTGTAATTAAAATACCCTTTCTTTACCTATTATTAAAGGTGAAGAAAGGGCATTTTTATCTTCACCTATTATTACAGGTGAAGAAAGGGAATTTTAATCTTCACCTTTCCTTACCTATTCTTTCTTCTTCTTTCTTTACCTTTCTTCACCTATTATTATAGGTGAAGAAAGGGAATTTTAATTTTTGTTTGTTTGAAATTCTTAATTAAAATGCCCTTTCTTTACCTATATTACAGGTGAAGAAAGGGAATTTTTATCTTCATCTTTCTTCACCTATTCTTTCTTCTTCTTTCTTCACCTTTTTTCACCTATTATTAAAGGTGAAGAAAGGGAATTTTAATCTTTACCTTTCTTCACCTATTCTTTCTTCTTCTTTCTTCACCTTTTTTCACCTATTATTAAAGGTGAAGAAAGGGAATTTTAATTCTTTTTACTTGAAAAAATCAATATAATCCCTGGAACCTTAAGTAATTTTTTGAATTCTAAGGTCTTGTTATCTAATATTTCCTTCGACTATTCTAAAATTCGAAAATCGTCATTAAATCGCATCGGTTTACAAAAAAAATCGCGAAATCTTATACTCTTAAAAATCACGAAGAGTTAGAATATAAAATTTGTGAAAATTGCATTTGAATGTAATTGCGGAGAAAGGTCTTTGAATTATATACATATATACACCTTCCGATTGATCACGCGACCAGTTACAGATGCGGCATCACTTCCGGTGACCTTTAGCGGTCACAGGTAACCGTTACTCGTGTCGTAACATATAACATAATGTACCGTAAGCAGAGACGTAATGAGAGAATCGAGCATGTGGAGTGCCACAAGTTTATATAGCGAGGTCAGCCCTTTGTGACTCTCGAAAGCTGAATTCTCTACTTTCTTCCTCTATGAGAGACGTTATTGGATATAGTTTTACTTATTTGATTGATTTCCTGCTTTAATAGTGAAAGTTTTTTTTATTCTATAATTAATGACTTCTCGACTTAATTAGAGGTGAAGTTAATAACACTTTTTGAAAAACCTAATGAAATATCTCATCATATAAGTGATGAAGCATTCAATTTTTTTCTTCATCCTCATAAATCAGTTTGTAATCATTTGTTATTACTTATGTGATCACTTTTATTTTTTTTTCTCCTTCTATCAATCACTAATTCACTGTAAGTAATTATATATTCTATTTATAAAGAAAAACACTTTTAATTCTTATTTAATTTCAATTAAATTTAATTATTTTTAGTCGCACTCGCACTTATTGAATTTTATACTTGTTCGTTATAATTTATGCTAATTGATTTAATTTTCTTGTAATTATATGTTTATTTTCACATGTGTCACTTGAAAGTCCACGCTAGGAATTCTGCGGTGAAAGTATGAGAATTCGAATAATTATTAGAGATCTTGTCCCGAATCCAAACACCGAACTGAATTTTCAAAATTCAAAATGGCGATTTCAATATGGCGGATTTTGAAGAGTCAAAAATCTTAGATTTTTAAAATATAAAGTTTGCTTCATAATTAAATTTTCTAAATGTAAAGTAAATAATGTAAATTGTAAATGTAAAGTCTAAGTTGCCTGTAACAAGGTGGAAATATTAGAATTTAAACAATGTTTTGAATTTAAATTGTTTTTATTTTTTATTAGAATATTTTTGTAAAAGTCAAGGAAAGGCACATTAAAAAGTGAAAACTTTAGTAAATTAGACATTCTTCATTATCGTGTAGAATTATTTCTATTAATATATAAAGTAGCTTTTATATTATTAAGTTTTATGTAAAGAAAAAAATGACATAACAGTGACAAAGATATTTGTGATATGATTTTACATTATCAAATACACATGCCTTTAGCATAACTGGTTTCCGTTTCATAAACACAAATTGAAAGATACGCGTGCATACTTGGATGAATTTCAACGATGAATTCGAAAGTTGTGAGTGAAGCAAAAGAATTCACGTATATAAAGAGCCTCTGGCAAGGAGTCGATATGTTACTGGAGCATGGCTGAACATAGCGAAGCGTGTCTTACTAAAGAGGCCAGTATTTTCAGTTTCTAGGAAACTACATATTTTTTATGTAAAAAAACAATTTTTCTTGTTTAATCTATGCAATAAAATATTATCTAAAATTCAGTCACCTTTCTTCAGCTAACAATTTACCTAAGAAGTGAAGAAAAGTCATCAGTGAAGAAAGAGTGAAATTTACTACTTTTCGGTTTAATGTAAGGAAAAAACAATTTTTCGTTATATTTTATGCAACGAAATATTCACAAATCTAAAATTCAGTCACCTTTCTTCAGCTAACAATTTACCTATTTGTAACATTGAAGAAAAGTCAGCAGTGAAGAAAGAGTGAAATTTACTACTTTTCGGTTTATTTTATAATTGTTACTTGTAATTTGTACTTTTAAATTTACAAATTAAAAATATTTTAGTAAATTACGTATTTTACAATATATTTTCATTAAATAAGAAAAAAAAATCGAAAATCTCTTTTTTCTAATTGGACTTTTAGTAATGAAGAAAATTTTTGATATCAATAATTCAGATGAATTGCCTTAAGCATATGGGTGCAGATAGTGTATAACTTTCTCTGCACTGTCACCATGCTACTAACCATATAATGCAAGGATAATGTTTGATGTTATATAAATGTATCGCGTAATACCGGGCGAGACATTGTCAGGACTAAATCAAGACATTTTAGTTCTATTAAGCCATCCTTCATTTTTAAATTTTTTAATTCATCTTTTTTATAATAGACGTTCTTATTCCATTTCCTATAATTTCGTCTATATGATAATTTTCTACTTTTTCTAATTCTAGGGATGAAATTCAAAATGGCGGATCCAAAATGTCGGAAGTAAAATTACTATTTTTGATATTTTTAATTTAGAACAATCGTCAATATCAGACTATTTGAGAATCATATTTAGGGGGTTAACTAAGCCAGTGAAGAAAAAAATTAGTTGAATTTTTTTAATTAGTAAATCTGAGATAAATTCTATAATTCTTAATATTCAACAATTTTCGTCTCTTTTTAGGCAAATTGCTTAAATATTTTTTGGCTCTTCAAAAATATTTTACCCGTCTTTTAAACTTCAACCTTTAGTCAAAAAAGCTATTTTTGACGCCAAAAACCCAAATTTTTTAAAAATCATCAATTTTCTTCTATTTTAAGGCCAATTGCTTTAATATTTTTGTGCTCTTCAAAAATACTTTACTTGACTTTTAAACTTCACCCTTTGGTCAAAAAAAACTACTTTGACCCCTAGTTTTGACACCAAAAACCCACATTTTTTAAAAATCATCAATTTTCTTCTATTTTCAGGCAAATTGCTTTATTGTTTTTGGGCTCTTGAAAAATACTTTACTTGATTACTAAACTTCAACCTTTGGTAACAAAAACTACTTTGACCAATAATTTTGACACCAAAAATCGAAAATTCTTAAAATTCAACGATTTTCTTCTATTTTAAGGCGAATTGCTTTAATATTTTTGGGCTCTTCAAAAATACTTTACTTGACTTTTAAACTTCACCCTTTGGTAGAAAAAACTACTTTGACCACTAGTTTTGGCACCAAAAACACAAATTTTTTAAAAATCATCAATTTTCTTCTATTTTCAGGCGAATTGCTTTATTATTTTTGGGCTCTTCGAAAATACTTTACTCAATTTTTAAACTTCACCCTTTGGTCAAAAAAACTAATTTGATTAATATTTAAAATATTGTTCCTGAAATCATAGGTAAATTAAAATTTTTAAATTATTTTCTTTACTTGTTTTATGGTCTTCTTAATTGTCAGTAGTCCATGAAACTAATTAAACTATATAAGCATCAGTATTCATCATTATTTTTGTGTCAAGGTGAAACACTTTCCGCTAAAGATGTGTTTGCGTGCAAAACTTTTTATTTCTTTTCCACTTTTGTGATATCTCGTTGCCCTGACTCGAATCGTTAGCGCTATACGGGGTTCCATTGTCTCTACATTTGCCGGAAGTATGCATTTCTTGAAATGTGTTGAAAATCTTTGTCAATTGACCTTGATTAGGAAACAAAAACAGGTGCAA